CACTCCAAGGATTTGTTTCAGCACAAATCAGTTCCCATTTCGCTGTAAGTAAAAAATTCATCACATGACTCTAGTGAATTCAAATTCAACTAGCTGGAGTTCTGACTATTAATATTAATAAATCTTTTTCATTTATTTTAGGATTATGAAGCTATTACGATTGCATCGGACATGACGTTTTCTGTGCCATCAGCTGTTGATGGACCATCGAGCCCATCCAATCTGGAAGAGAAGCCCAAAAAAAAAGCGCAGGAGTTTTTGGAGGACTCTTAAACGAATGTTCTGTTGTGCGAGCAAACCTGAGGAGCACGAAGCCGAAGAACTTCAACGTTAAAACGTGAGTGAAGTTACATTTTTTATTAAGTTGAGAGGGTTGGGGGTGTAAGGGGGTAGGGGTTGGGTAAGCGAGAAGAGCATTATCAAATTTATATGGGAGTTGCGCCCCATTGACGCCAAGGGAAGGGTTTGGGTGATTGGGTGAGGGTGTGAAAGGGTAAGCGTTTGGGGGTGTGAGGGGGTAGGCGTTTGGGGGTATGAGGAGGTAGGCGTTTGGGGGTGTGAGGTGGTAGGGGTTGGGTAGGCGAGAAGAGCATAATCAAATCTATATGGGAGTTGCGCCCCATTGACGCCAAGAGAAGGGTTTGGGTGATTGGGTGAGGGTGTGAAAGGGTAGGCGTTTGGGGGTATGAGGAGGTAGGCGTTTGGGGGTGTGAGATGGTAGGGGTTGGGTAGGCGAGAAGAGCATAATCAAATCTATATGGGAGTTGCGCCCCATTGACGCCTAGGGAAGGGTTTGGGGGTATGAGGGGGTAGGCGTTTGGGGGTGTGAGGGGGTAGGGGTTGGGTAGGCGAGAAGAGCATAATCAAATCTATATGGGAGTTGCGCCCCATTGACGCCAATGAAAGGGTTTGGGTGATTGGGTGAATAGTCAACTTGAGTCGACTCGAACGCTATCGACTTCGAGCTCTGCAAAAAATATTTCATTTAAAAAAATTATTTTATGATGCATCTAGTGGCATATAAATGTTTATCCGTTTATGCTTCTAGCTAGACTCAATATTTTGGCACTGCATAAATGTGATGAAATCAGATGTAAGCATTGAATGTTACAATTAAAACGGACATCAGCAAAACAAATTAGTCGAAGATCTTCTCATTTATATACATGACATAAAGGTAATGAGACACAAAAACATTACAATGAATCAGACATATTTCATTTCCTTTATAGTAAGTTAAATATAATGCCTCGACTAAAATCGTTAACTCAAAATCCAGGATAGGTTTAACTTAAAAGATGATTTACAAATCCTTTCCTATGTAACTGGATATCTGAATTGAAAAATGTATGTCATGCAAAATTTTTAAAAAGACTTAATTGTAAACATTTCCTTCTCATTTCGGTTGAGAACGCATGTGTGCTTTTATTTCTGTCCCATATTAAAAAAAATTGTTTTTCACATTCTCAATCGATTAAGATGTAATAAAACGAATTCTTCTGATGCTTATAACGAAGATAATTGAATTTAAATAAACAAAGCGAATTAAGGATGACTGATTTATTGCAGAGATTTGAAAGATGAAAGAGAAGACAGTAATTTTTAATTTTATAAGCTATAACATTGCATTTAATTAGTTTTATCAACTTTTGTTGACAAATATTGTTTCATTGAACTGTATGATCTACTCTATTTAAAACGACGCAAAATTTTGCACATAATTATTGCGGATACATGCAAATTCTCACAACAGGGCAGTCAAAACTTTCAGATCGTATTTAGAATCGTTGACAATTATTTTGTAATTGTTATTCGCCCACTGATGAAACGAAGAATATGCTAAAAATATTTTAAAAATAAATAATGGTAGTTGGTGGTCTTCATTCTCTAATGAGCAATTCATATTCATTTCAGAGTTCATTTGTATGAAAAATTTATTTTAAGCTAGAAGTAACAAAACTATATAAAAGAAAATGAGTAAGTTTGCTTTTGTATAGCATATTGAAATTTTGTTTAGTAGAATTTAATGATTTGGGGATGAACATAAATTTTTATTTTACTACTTCATTAAATCTTTGCTTAATAAGTTCACTATTAAAACTATCAAATGAACCGAACAATTTAATTTCCCACGAACAAGTGTTTCTTCGTCAAATACAATTTATCTTTTTTGATTTGTTTCCTTCTCCTCCTCTTTATTGACTCGATTTGAGTAACATGCATACTAATAAACAATATCGACGTCATTGGACAAATATTTTACGGATCACGGTCAAGAATATTTTAGCATCATGTTTGTATGGAAGTTTTGTTTTACCTTCATTTTGTCTTATAATTTATGTTATAATTTATTTAAAGTTTTTATTAAGATATCAAGCAATTAGCAAATGTCACCGATAAAATGCCATCTTGTTCTATAAAAAATTTTAGTAAGAAGGTCATCACATAATAATGAATTTTTTTTTTGTAGTTACGTTCTCATACTTTGTAGGGGATACAGGAACTAATATTTTTAATTAAACAAGCTTGTGTGATCATAATTGATTAAGCGCAAAATCGCTTGAGTGAAAATTCTCACTTTTTGGCTGTTGATATATTTATTTACATCTTGGTACGGAGAATTTGTCGCGAATTCCTTGATGTTTCATTGAAAATTTACAATAGCGTCACCTTAATCATTTAGATCATTAAACTTTAATTCAACCATAGAAATGAATCTATTGTAAGGTTTTTTTACATAATATTCGTAAATACGTAAGAGTTCCTCTAATAAGCAATCATACTTGCTTAATTTCTCATATTTTCCTGTGATTTGTTTCAAAATATTTCTCAAAAAAGAGATGGAGAAATGAATTAAAAATTAAGGGCAAATGTTTGTTGTCAGAATAGATTTATAAAATGAATTGAAGTTTAGCAAAATAGAAATTAAATAAAATTGTATTTTTTTATTCGTAATTAAACGATTAATGTTTTCCTGTTCATGACTTTTTTGGGTTGTGTATAATATAAAATTTGCATTATAGAGAATCCACAAAAACCAGAACTAATTTTGATCTGTCCGTAGACATAGTAAAATTTTTTAAATCATGAGATTTTCCATAAACAATTTATTCAAATTTATTGGATGTTTCTATTTCAATTCTTCTTAAAATTCTTGGTTCATGATCGTTTTAGAAAACAATTAAAAATCCGTGATATTGGAAATGTTGCTAATAAAGTAATCATGACAAGTTGCTTATAATAATTGCGACAGTTGACATTTTTGAATGCTCAATGTCGGAGATAAGAGAAGAAGAATCTGCTTCCCATTTGTTGAAAGCCACACGACTCTTGATATATCTAAAGTGTGTCTGCGACACAAAAAGACAGAAAAAAGTATGTTTTTAAATTAAATTATAAAGAATTTTAGAAAATAAAGTTGTAGGCATATCCAAAAATACATGTGAATGTGTTAAAAATAAACTTTCTTATGAGACCACTTATATCAATTAAATATGCCGGCGACAATTTCATTGTAAAAATCATCAGATGAGGAAAGAAAAATGTGGTAGACCTCATCATATCATCTGTATGTAGAAGATATGAATTATTGAATGATCTTTGAATTTTCTTGCATATTCAGTTTTAGTTGTCATGCACGATTATTTTTGAACAAAAAATTTTAAAGCTGATTTTGTTTTCAGAAAATATTTATTTCGGAAATTTCACTTCAATTCGTCACAGTTTACAATTCATAATTTTTTATTTATTTATCTTCCTTTATATTATTTATTTTTCATCATAAAACGATTAATATGATTAATCGAGAAAGATGAAATAAAAGTGACTGTGACATATTCAATTTAATTTGGGAGATTAATCAGATAACTTGAATTTGTTGACAATAAGTCATTGGAACATATTTTAATTCGATATGAAAGCATTTATCATACGAGAATCACATGGTCCGCGCAAACAGAAATCTGCTTCTTACTACTCAAAAAAAAAATTATCTCTCTTTTGAATTGAAGGCAATAATTGGTTGGCAAATTGATTACTTTGCCGTGAATTTATTTAAGATTTATCATCTGAGAACTAATTTTAATTTATCAAATTCAATTCTTAACATTTGTCTAGACTTTTAACCAACCCTATAGATCTATGCTACAACTGCTGTAGAAATGATTCCAACCATGTGTATTATCGTCATTCGAAATGTTAACAATTTAAGATATTATTCATGATCATGTGTTGTTTTATTGGCTGTTATTAGCTGACAATGTTTGTACACGATCATTGAGAAAGAAAAAAATCATTAAGCAATTTCCTCGTTCCAATTAAAAGTTGTCAAATAGTGACAGTGTCTTAATTTCTGAATAATGATTCATTCTTAATCATATGATATATTTAAAGGAACAGAAAATAGAATTGACGAATAAGCTAAAAATATGAGCATCGATTATGAGTTCCAAAACTTTTAATCTTAATTCAAAAATTTTGTAGCACGTGTAATTAAAATGATCGCTATGAGTGAGGAATTAATGTTTTTAATAAAAATATGAGAACTTTGTTGGATGCTCATAAAAGGGAATAAGCGAAATATTTTTTTATATTAATAAAAAGAAATCTTTACGACCTTAGGAAATCGTCCTTGAATTTTCATCGAAGATTTATGGCAGATAATATTTTCCTTACATAACAGATTTATTCCTGAATGAAATAAAGAAAAATCTCTCTCATCCTCATACAAATTTCAGTTCATTAATATTACAATCTTGTTGTATTTGTGGATCAGTTGAGTGTTACCAGATCAAATCTATAGAGATCGTGTTAGAATGTTGAGAATTATCAATAAATTAAACCATCACATTCTCATGAAATCGTTGACTTCCTTCCGCTCATTTGCCATGTCTACATGTATATTAAAATTATACTCGCAAAAATAACCATTACACGAAAGATTTTTCAGAAAAGAAAAACTTTGCGAGTTGAAATTTTCTACAAAATTTTCTCTGATAGTCATTCATCGGTGAGACGTTGTGGTTGACAGTATCAAAAGAGAAAATAAAAAAGTTTGAGATAAGAACTTTTTCCTAATTTTTATTTTGTGTCGAGAAGAAAAAAGAAGAAGATCGAAAAAAAATTAAATTGATTAAAACTTGATAAATAGTAAGAAAAAATAAGGAGTGAATAATGGAAAAGTGGGAAGGAAAAGTTGCCGTTGTGACTGGCGCATCAGGTTAAACATAGAATTCTGCGTTACAAGTCCAGACATTTTAAGTCAAAGCGATCCTTTTAATTATAAATCCAGATACAACCTAAGGAATATTGGTTTTGAGGATTTACAATTTAACGTGACATTTAGACTTTTAATGTCTGAACCCATAGCTCAGTAGCACATAATTTTTTATTCCTTTGAATAAATCTGACGATCGTATCATCTTAATAGTTGGTATTGGTGCAGCATTATGTCGAGCATTGGTAGAAGCTGGAATGATCGTTTGTGGCATGTCTAAGCGCAAAGACAAAATGGAAGTAAGAAAAAAAATTGATATAAAATACCTGAAATTACTGTGTGATATCAATCAGTTCGGTTTGAAAATCAAAAATACCCAAACATATTTTCTAATAGTTTTCTCATCTAATCTCAGTTGAGATGCGAAGAGATTAATTTTAAAAGTGTGCGGGAAAGGTTTCAAAATCCTATAAATTATTAAAATATCTAAAATATTTCCTCAACCCGTGTAATAAATTCTAATGAGCTTAAGGATGAGAAATCTGTTTAAGCTTCTAAGAAAATTTATTCCGCGATGAGCAAATAATTCAGCGCGTCTCTGAAAATTAATGATATAGACACAGGCTCACGCTAAAAGAAAAAAATAATTCAAGCAGCGTTTTTCGTATGAATTATTGCATATAAATATAATTTTTTACTAAAATATCTTGGTACTAGATATTTCCCTACACTTTTCATATCTTATTGAATAATTCTGAACAAAATCTAAGTTTATATGAGAGTTGAGGATTAATAGTGTCTAAGATGTCATTCAATGATTAGCAAAACTTTAATAATGCATGAAATTTTTCATAGCATTGAGAATAAATTAAGCGAATGATATATTATTTTTTTACATTCAAGGCAATCCGTCGAACATTATTTGGAGTAAAAGGCAATTTCAACTGCATAGGTAAATAACCTTAATTTTCTTAATCCTCTGTCCTCATAATTTTCATTCCTTTTACAGAATGCGATATTCGTGATGAAAATCAAGTCGCTGCAGCTTTTAAGTGGATCGAAGAAGTTTGCGGTGGTGTTGATTTGTGAGTAATAAAATAATGTCCAATTTAATAAAATGCAGCAATTATCGGATAATTAATAGCAAAAAGGTACATTAATTTCATCTTTATTTTAAATATAGGTTAATAAATAATGCTGGAGTTATTACAAAAGGATTACTGCTAGATGCAAAAAATACAACTGAATTGTACAGAACGATGGAAACTAACATCATTGGTTTATGCCTTATCACACGTGAAGCTGTCAAATTAATGAAGAAAAGAGACGAGGAAAAAGGCACAATTGGTCATATTGTCAATATCAACTCTATCTTCGGACACAAAATTCATGCTTGTGTGGTAACTTCTTTTTATAATTTCTTAATTTTATACATTTTTTTTATTCTGATTTTATTTTAATTTCTATTTAAAGCCTGGCACAAAACCGCTAAATGGAATGTATCCGGTAATTTCTTAGCGTAATACGCTCATTTTTTGTTTTTCACTCTTAAAATTAATTGACAACTGATTAGAAGATTTTTATGTTTCCTTTAAAATTTTAATTAAAAATCATAATCGGTTGTCTACACACTTTAGTTCTGTTTCAAACATAAATAATCCCCGTTTGTACTAATTATTTCTCATTTCTTTCTCAATTTCTCTCTGTTGTTCGTTATGTTCTTAAAATAACGAAAATAATTGCAGGCATCAAAGTAAGTACTTGTTCATTTACATGTAAATGTCTAGTGTCTAGAAAACAAATTTTCAATTTTATTAGGGAGATTCCTTAAAAATGAAAATCTTTACTTGGTATTTTTGAGTTCTTAATAACTTTTTATTGGTTTTATTAATTTTTTTGATGTTAAAAGCATTTTAAAGGAGCTTTATAGGAGATAATTATAAGGAAAGTCAAAATTCCTAAAAAGTACTGGAAGTTTGTTTCATATGCCCTAAAAAGAAGACAACAAAAAATTCTTATGAAAAAAAAATTTTTTTTTTGTTTTTTTTTTCCCGACTTATGAAACAAACTTGAAAGGAACCTCCTCACACTAATCTATGCTCTATATCCAACAGGTTCGCGGTGACTGCGATCACAGAATGCGTACGTCAGGAGCTCTTATACTTAGGCACAAAAATTAAGATCACAAGTATTTCACCAGGTCTAGTTGAAGGTAAAAAAGGAAACGTTGAAAATAAAAAAAAACACAAATTTTAAGGAAAAAAACACACATTTTAAGGAAAAAACAGACATTTTAAGGAAATTCTTTAGTGATCTTCAATTAATTCCTCCCACAACGTTATGTCAGTCAAAATGCAAGTTCAATGTCATTGGAAATTCTTAGTAGGGAATTTGATATATTAATTTTTTATGACATCGTACTGAAAATATTTTCGAGACAAGTTGAGAAGAAAAAAGTCAATTAATTATTTAATAAGAAAGAACCTGAAAAGTTCAAACATTTTCTGTTTTCTTCTTTTAATGCTATTCATCCAGTAGCCAAGATTTGCCAAAACGTTTTTATCAAGCTCATAGCATCAGATATTTTAAGCAAGTCTTGACAGTTTTATGACATTGTAATTCTTAAAATAGGAATATTAAATCAAATTTTTATGAAGATCTCTTCCATGTGACAATTGTGTGACATAAAATTCTTTAAATATTTCTTTTTCTCCTCTTCTACATATTTTATTTGCATGTATTTAGGTGATATCGGAACCTTGAATACTTCTCATGACATGATCAAATTAATGCCAAAACTTAAGCCCCAAGATGTAGCCGATGCAGTTTTATATGCGATCAGCACACCTGAAAATGTCTTGGTAATTAGCCATTAATGAATGCTTAATCAACTTTTTAACATGCTTGCACTGTCACTCTTCTCATTTTAGATTCATGAATTGATTATTAAACCTGTGGGCGAGTTTCTGTAAACGCTGATAAATTGCAATGATCATCATAAATCAAGCTTGATTGTCTTCTATTTCTTCTTTTTTCACTCATGTGCTATATGTATGACAAGATGACAAGAACAAAACAGAAAGTATGATGAAAAAAGAAAAATCATTTAATTTTTTTTATTATTATTAAATATTGTACAAGTAAGGGCGGTTTTAAATAAAAGCAAGTATTAATTAACTCATTACTCATGACTTCTGTTTTCTATTTGCGCGTTTCAGATATATTTCAATCGTCAAGTAGCATTTTCACATGCCATAACAATTTTCAGTTTCTTTAGAGGTAAATATTTTGTTGATGACGAACTGCCACGATTTTGAAAAGAGAGGTGAAGAGGAACTTTGTAGCCACATGTATAATGTGATACACGCAAAAAATGATTTCAAGATCGTTTTTCATTTCAACATTCTTAAAACATTAAATATGAAAATATTTCTACTGCTTCTTCTTGGTCGCATGGCGCTACTATGTTGACTCCTTTCATTTTTTTGCATGTTCTGTGTGAAAATTGGAATTGCTAAGTATTGTTTTTATTTACATGACTTGATGAATCATAAAGAAGAATGGAATATAAATACTTCTGGATTACGACAACATTTTCTATTTTAAGATAGTGGGTATTTTTATAGGTTTAGCTATAGGACAGATTTTCATTGCTTTTCACTAATGATCATAATTTATAATAATTATTATCATGTTTTAAAAATATAATTTAAAGTTGTGCTCGGATGAGCGATTGACATATCAAAGGAACTATGTTTGGTTCTTAAATTTTTTCATTATTACAATTAAATAGTATGTAATTAATTAAAATTGTCTTCATTAATTAAGACTTAAAAAGATGTATTTAATTATATTTTTAATTTATAGAACTGCTAGACGAAATAGATGAGCAATATTAGATGATTGTTTGCACATCATATTTTCATTAATATGTATGATTTATTTGGAACCGGTTGAAATGAAATTTTGTATCACTTTGTGAGTGACGTAGATAAATATGAGACATTAGACGAGTCTGAAGAAAAATTATGAGTGAAAAATTTGAATTCATTCATAAATTTATTTAAAAATAATTGATATAAAAGTTTCCTTCTTTAATTTTTACAGTCCTTTTCTTTCATCATCGTGCCATATACCTTTGAGATGCAAAATAAAAATTAATGAGAGATACGTAGTCTTAAATCTGTCAAACATTTCAAAAACAACAGTTCGACATAAACTTCATTAATTTCTTAAGTGATCCTAAATGATGAACACGCAAAAGAAAAGAAATCTTCCAGTAAATTGTCACTGGGCACCTAATAAATTTATCTTCTTGCCTCGGTTCGCATGTTTGTTTTATTTTATCATGTCACTATATTTTCTCAACTTTAAATTCATTTCTTTCCTTGAAGCGTGACATATGTATATTGGGTACAGTAAAAGGTTAAATTTGAAAAAGTGTGACACTTAAAACATCATTTGTTTGATTATAAGCACATGATAACTGATGATAACAATATAGATATTTTACATATACTTTCGATTAGCACTCTCAAAATGCATATTTATTCATGTTCATTGTTGCAGCATTAAAATTTTTTTAAATAAAATAAAAGAAAATGAAAAATCTTTTCAGACGAAAAGATTATTAAACTTTGTGAAAAAATGATATGTGACTAGGTAAATATTTATGAAAATAAATCATTTTGGCTATGAAGTATGCAAAGTATTACTTTCATAATTTATAGGCATCTTCAGGTATGTTGATTTTACTTTCTACGGATTTTAAAATAGATTAGGATTCCAACAATAGTGAATGATAAATAAATTAATGAAACCAGAATTGCAATTCCCAACGGTGAGTTCAATACAGAAGTTTCGCAATAAAATGAAGCATTTCTAATCTGATAAGTTAAATCACGCATGTTATTATATTCTGCTGTAAAAGATTCATCTTTTGTCAAATATGTAAGCATGCACTCAAGTTTAACTGTGTCGTTTTTATATTCCTCAATTAGTTTTTGATAAAATAACATTCTCTCTGTTGATTCCATTATGTCACTTGGTTCCATTTTTAACAGCTTTAAAGAAAAACTATGACTTACTAGCCACCAGCCCAAATATGTACTAAATTTTACTTCGCACCTTAAACATTAGTGATAATCATTTTTCACTTTTCACTATTGAAAATACACATGACAATAAAGTTGTAGACATGCACATTAATAAATAATGCACTCTTATCATACAAGATATTTTTTAATCAAGTATTTTGAAAAAAAGTAATCACCAAGTTTGGAATAATGAAGAAATACTCTATATATAATTTTTTGGACAAGATCTTTATCCATATGTATTGTCAAAACTTCTAAAGGATCATGTAAACTTTAATACTAATAATTCAGTTATTGGTCTTAATACATTTGAATTTGAATGAGATGTGTTCAATATAAAAGCTTATTATTAGATCCATTCATTAGGCATGCTACATCCAAGCCTCTGCAGACATAAATTCATCGCATATAATATTTTACTGACGTTGCCTGTAAAATCGTAAAACCTTACTTATCCAAGTTCCAGTTATTAATTTCTGGGTATTTATAATATCGACTCTTAGTGCCTTCATACTATAAATTGCTATAAATGCTTGAGAACAACTTGATGACATTAAAAAACATTTATTTTTATTAATAAAGAAATTAGAAAATAAAAACTGAGATTCCAATACGTTGAGACTTGAATATTTTTCGAAACAGTGATTCTGTTACAATACAATTAAGGCTCTTGGACTGGCGGAAAGTTAAATAAGATTAACTGTATGAAAAAAAAGAAGGTTTCTCAGTAATTAGAGTTTGTAAAATTTTATCCATTTAATTAGATCTTTATGCTGATGATTGTTGATCCATTAAAATTCATCTAGGATCATTAATATATTCTCAAACTTTATTGATTGAATTATTTTTTTATTGATTGATTGAATGAATCGATTGAGGATTTTTTTATAAAAAAGACTGAACTTTAAAAAAAACGTTTTTTTTAAAGTTCAGTCTTTTTTATAAAAAAATCCTCAATCGATTCATTCAATCAATCAATAAAAAAATAATTCAATCAATAAAGTTTGAGAATATATTAATGATCCTAGATGAATTTTAATGGATCAACAATCATCAGCATAAAGATCTAATTAAATGGATAAAATTTTACAAACTCTAATTACTGAGAAACCTTCTTTTTTTTCATACAGTTAATCTTATTTAACTTTCCGCCAGTCCAAGAGCCTTAATTGTATTGTAACAGAATCACTGTTTCGAAAAATATTCAAGTCTCAACGTATTGGAATCTCAGTTTTTATTTTCTAATTTCTTTATTAATAAAAATAAATGTTTTTTAATGTCATCAAGTTGTTCTCAAGCATTTATAGCAATTTATAGTATGAAGGCACTAAGAGTCGATATTATAAATACCCAGAAATTAATAACTGGAACTTGGATAAGTAAGGTTTTACGATTTTACAGGCAACGTCAGTAAAATATTATATGCGATGAATTTATGTCTGCAGAGGCTTGGATGTAGCATGCCTAATGAATGGATCTAATAATAAGCTTTTATATTGAACACATCTCATTCAAATTCAAATGTATTAAGACCAATAACTGAATTATTAGTATTAAAGTTTACATGATCCTTTAGAAGTTTTGACAATACATATGGATAAAGATCTTGTCCAAAAAATTATATATAGAGTATTTCTTCATTATTCCAAACTTGGTGATTACTTTTTTTCAAAATACTTGATTAAAAAATATCTTGTATGATAAGAGTGCATTATTTATTAATGTGCATGTCTACAACTTTATTGTCATGTGTATTTTCAATAGTGAAAAGTGAAAAATGATTATCACTAATGTTTAAGGTGCGAAGTAAAATTTAGTACATATTTGGGCTGGTGGCTAGTAAGTCATAGTTTTTCTTTAAAGCTGTTAAAAATGGAACCAAGTGACATAATGGAATCAACAGAGAGAATGTTATTTTATCAAAAACTAATTGAGGAATATAAAAACGACACAGTTAAACTTGAGTGCATGCTTACATATTTGACAAAAGATGAATCTTTTACAGCAGAATATAATAACATGCGTGATTTAACTTATCAGATTAGAAATGCTTCATTTTATTGCGAAACTTCTGTATTGAACTCACCGTTGGGAATTGCAATTCTGGTTTCATTAATTTATTTATCATTCACTATTGTTGGAATCCTAATCTATTTTAAAATCCGTAGAAAGTAAAATCAACATACCTGAAGATGCCTATAAATTATGAAAGTAATACTTTGCATACTTCATAGCCAAAATGATTTATTTTCATAAATATTTACCTAGTCACATATCATTTTTTCACAAAGTTTAATAATCTTTTCGTCTGAAAAGATTTTTCATTTTCTTTTATTTTATTTAAAAAAATTTTAATGCTGCAACAATGAACATGAATAAATATGCATTTTGAGAGTGCTAATCGAAAGTATATGTAAAATATCTATATTGTTATCATCAGTTATCATGTGCTTATAATCAAACAAATGATGTTTTAAGTGTCACACTTTTTCAAATTTAACCTTTTACTGTACCCAATATACATATGTCACGCTTCAAGGAAAGAAATGAATTTAAAGTTGAGAAAATATAGTGACATGATAAAATAAAACAAACATGCGAACCGAGGCAAGAAGATAAATTTATTAGGTGCCCAGTGACAATTTACTGGAAGATTTCTTTTCTTTTGCGTGTTCATCATTTAGGATCACTTAAGAAATTAATGAAGTTTATGTCGAACTGTTGTTTTTGAAATGTTTGACAGATTTAAGACTACGTATCTCTCATTAATTTTTATTTTGCATCTCAAAGGTATATGGCACGATGATGAAAGAAAAGGACTGTAAAAATTAAAGAAGGAAACTTTTATATCAATTATTTTTAAATAAATTTATGAATGAATTCAAATTTTTCACTCATAATTTTTCTTCAGACTCGTCTAATGTCTCATATTTATCTACGTCACTCACAAAGTGATACAAAATTTCATTTCAACCGGTTCCAAATAAATCATACATATTAATGAAAATATGATGTGCAAACAATCATCTAATATTACTCATCTATTTCGTCTAGCAGTTCTATAAATTAAAAATATAATTAAATACATCTTTTTAAGTCTTAATTAATGAAGACAATTTTAATTAATTACATACTATTTAATTGTAATAATGAAAAAATTTAAGAACCAAACATAGTTCCTTTGATATGTCAATCGCTCATCCGAGCACAATTTTAAATTATATTTTTAAAACATGGAGCAGGAGTACAAAAGATTAGGAGCCAAATTTCTTAAAGTCTTCTATTTTAAGCAAAATGTTTTTAAAGAAATGCTTTACATTAGTGAAAAGTTGATGTAATAAAATCATTTAGACACATTTGGTGCTATATTTCAAACGAGGTGAACCCAAACAAAATCCTTATGTTTAAAGTCGACTTCATCACACTGCATCACAGTGTAAAAAAAACTTAAAAATTGAGTTTCACGGCCTTTTATTGCACAGACATTATTAGAATTTTTTTGTTATAGCAAATCTTTTATAACAGGAACTGTTTTATGCTCTTTTTGATAATCCAAAGTTTGAAGACTTTAAAGTCAAGTTTAAGTTATAAATTCTCTTACCTGAAAAATTAAATACAGAATTTCAATAAACTTCAGATTTTTTATTTCTTTTTATCTCATATAGTAATTAAACCTTTTTTTAACCATTAATGTAAATTTTTAACACAACCTTAAGTTAAGGAAATTTTGTAATCTTCCTCTAACGTTTAATGCAGAAGCTCATCTTCGTTGTAGACCAAAAACCTTATTTTTTGATGAATGATTGTTACAAAGTTTAAACGCAATTTTTTAACGGCATGTGTTTATTTCACTCACCTTTTTACATGCCAAAATATTCCATGTAGGTCTCTACACTGTTAATAAATGCTTGTTTGTCATTTTAATTGTTGGTTTCACTTAAATAAATCCTGAAAAAAAATTACCATTATTAGCAATGATTCATTTATGTACCTTGTTCCTTTTTTCAAGCATTATATCAGCATGGTTAAAATCGATAAATAATAATCAGGTCATGACCTCCCTCAATGTATGCTGCATTGTATAGAGCATGCGGCACATTTTAAGTTCATTGCTCGACTTTTGATTTTTTGTCAAGAATTAAAGTTTGCTAAAATAAACATGAAGTATGTTACGACTGTAATTGTATAGATAAAGTAAGTCTATGCTGAAAAAAAGGTGGTAATTTAAAAAAAAATTTTTGTGTTCTAGTTTCTCCTTTCGTTTATTATTGATCAATCATTTCTTATAACTTATCTCATTCCAATTCTTGCTAGATCTCAGATTAAAAACACCCACTTTCAATTGCCTTTACAATTAATCAAGATATAGAAATGAGAAGAATATTATATTATCATTATTCTGTAGATAAATTAGATACCATTTTATTGCATCAATTTATCGCACATGTTCAATAATTTTATATTTTTGTCATTAATATATATTATCTATATAATTTTATTAAGTTCTATAAAATTGTGTCTGTGTTGTCGTTTGCTTCAGACTCCTTCGAATTTGTTATTTTAATATTTTTTCACATATTATAAGCACAAAACAAGAGGTCTTCGTTTTTCTGGTTTCATTATTGATAATGAGTGAGGAAGGAGGACACAGTTGTTGTTTTTACATTATTCTAAAAAAATCTCATGATTACTTTAAAGACATTATATTTTATCCGTAAAAAATATGATCATGATCACAAAGATGATGTAAACTAAATAATAGACGAGTGACAAAAAGGGACTTCCTCTTATTATGTTATTAAAAAGAAATGTGCTTAATTAATATGTAATTCATTTTAATTATTTGTTTCTCGTTAAAGGAAAGATTTTAATTCCTTTGTATACAATCAATATATGTTTAATATACTTTATATAAATTTAATTTAATGGATCGTCATTTGATGTAATTATGAAGACAAAAATGATCTCTTTGTCTTGCGTCTCTTTCGTTTTAACAATTATCATTTTTTTTTTGAAAATACATTACAGTCAAGAAGAACAGTTTTTACATATTCTTAAATTGATGAACGGTAGTTTTATTTTCGCATATTTTTCTTTTGTTATTTTGAAATAAAAAAAAAACCATTGAACACCTCTAGTTTCCATTATATGTATTAATTACATACTTTTTTATAAAAAATTTACGAAGTAGTTTAGTTATTAAATTTCATCAAGATTTATTTTCTGGTTTCAATCAAAATTAACTACAAATGAAAAAATGCTGTATGCAAGATACACAAATCTTATCAATCAATTCTCAAAAACAGAAAAATAATATTAAGTCAATATTTTTTATTGAATATATTGCCATTAAATTTCTATGTTGCATTCAACAATTTTAGATTACATACTTTGCTTTTAAGCATATTCTTGTCAACAAACATTACAAATTTAAATTAAATATTTTAAATTCAGAATGATGGTTGAAAATGAACTTTTGTGAATCAGCTAAAATTTTAGGAAATTTGATGATCTTTCAGTGGTTTCTAGCAAATGTTCAGTCCTATATAACATGAAAGAAAACATTCATTATGACATGACAAATGAAGAAAAATGGTGAAACTTTATTTTTTAAAACCACAATGGACTTAAGGAGGACTAAGAAAAATTATCATTAATCTACAATAATTAAGCTAAATGTGTTTTGTTTGATGATCTCAAAACGATCATCAAAATGTTTTTTTTTTATTAATTTTTTGGATTAGGTATTTAATTATTTATTAAAGAGACAATTATCTGCACCAGTATAAGATAATATTTCCTGTTGTTTAAACATTATAATATGTGCAATATAATAACCGTTACTTTTCTGTTGCTTAAAAAGTGCACAAAGTTTTTCTTTAGTTAAATATAAAGTTGATTCACTAAACATGTATTTGAATTGTCGATATTCAAATCATCACACATTATTAAATATTTTACTTTTTTGTAATTTTAAAAAAAAGGTGATTTTAAATTGAAGAAAAAATAGACACATTACAAACTATTTACTAGCTTAATTGGGAAGCTTCTCGGTTTTATCTCTTAAACTTTTCATCATCAATTTATCTAATGAATGTGTATCGATTATAATTAAGTTCTTTTTTATATTTTTTTCCTTTATGTTTATTTAAAAAAAAAACACTTAAAATTGTAGCAATTCGGAGTAAAAAATATGCTAGTCTATTATTTTCGCACAATTTAGTTTTTCACCTTTTTTTCTTTCGTTTCACTACTTTGCATTTTTCAGTTCTTGCTTTGTGTAACTTTTTACTCTTTTTCACGACACTCCTTGTATTATCAGTCATAAATTATTAAAAACTTTATCATCTAGAAATTGTGCCACTTTATCTTTTCATTGCAAACTTTGTAATTTTATTATATGTGTCAGAATTAATTATTTTCTTTTTTTGATCACTTTTTAGTAATTTAATTTTTTTACTCGTCATCCTCCTCCTCTGATTCTGCTTCTTGGAGCCATGTCAACCATGAGTTAACTTGAAACAGTGCTTTTCCTTTGCCTGGATAGTCATCAGTTATATCCTCTTTCCATCTAAGGAATGCATCTTCTTCAACGATTTCAAGTTCGTATAGTGCTGTGAACCATCTCAACAGCATGCCTTAAAATTAATGACAATTTGATAAATTTATGAAATAAACAGAAATATTATACCATGCTTACCTTTAGGGAACTGAGAATTGTAACAGAATACTTGTAATGCATAGACTGCAATTAATTGCAAGTCAAGGTTTCCATTTAAAAATGCATTCAGAATTCGGCTAAATGAAACTAGCAATTTCTTTTCAGCTTCAACTTGTGGCTTTTCTGGGAGTTTTGTGGGATCGCTGTTTTCTGGGAAAGTAGTTTCCTATAATTCAAATAAAGAGGATTTAGAATGCTTATTTATATTTTTCTTAATTTTTTTGAATTACCTGAGTAACATATTTTAAGAGAACAGAGATTAATGCTGTAATGAAGCCTGGATCGACATATCGAACAGGATTGACATTGTCCTTTATCCATTTATAGAATGTTTGAGGTTGAGGATCTTCTTTTATTTGCCTCCATAATTCGGATTCGATTCGCAACAATGGCTGTAAAAAGCTCAACTTTCTGTCGTCAAGAATTTCAGCTAAACGATCTTTTGTGCGATCGCATTCCGGTAAATTTGACATTAAATTGATCTTGCTGTTGTTAAACATTTCAACAAGCGCATCTTCGCCAATATTCTTGTGTAGTTGTTGAAATACAAGCAAAAGAAGAGGGTAATGCTGTCCATTATCTGTATAATTTGCAATATCCATCAACTTGCAAATTTTTTTAGACATTGCTCGTGACAATAATGATGCCACAAGAGTTGTTATTTTCGGAATTGTTTTTTCTCGTTCATTCATGCCATTAATTACACCACGAAGAGCATCGAGCGTTTGATTTGCTGTTAGCTTTTTATCTTTTTGCATTGCAATTAAAAACTCAATGACTGTTTCTTGTGCTTGATCGCCTTTGTCGAGAGATTCATTGAGAATTTTAACGATTGAATCTTTGAGGAATTTGTCAGGCACTTTTAGATCATAATATAATTTGACTACGTCTTCCATTGTTGGAACAGAAATTTCCTCTTCGACGATTGAATCATTCAATGAATCACTCTCCTTGTTTGATGCGGTATCATTGCATTCTTCAATTATTTCAACTTTTCCATTTTCATGTCCATTATCAGCATTATTATTGTTGTTATGAGAATCGGTAATAAGTTCCTTTTCATCACCAATATTCTTATCTTTAATGCGAGTTTCATTCATTTTATCTATGAAGTTTTTCTCTAATAATGAATCATTGATGAACTGCATGACCTTCTTTAAAACATCATCACGACTTGGACCTTTATCCTTTTTCGTCTTTTGCTTCTCAACTGAGCCTTGTTTCGTCACAGGTTGTTGATCTTTTGCCTGATTATTTTGTGGTGATTGTGGCTGAGAAGAAGTTGTATTTTGCGATGAATTAGATGAAGATTGTTTTTGAGCAGCCGATGCTGCGGCAGTAGTGTAATTAATCTGTTGATTTTGTTGTGGTGGCAATGACGATTGATTGTATTGCTGTGACGAAGATGTGTGATGATGTTGTTGCTGCTGCTGCTGTTGCTTTCCATTCATTGTGTTTACTTGCATGGTGCTATTAAATGGCGGAATCAAATTGTCTACGTTAGTTGATGACGAAAATCCTGGTGATGATGTTGTACTACGATTCTGTTGATTTAAAGGCAATTGTTGTGGATTTGGCTTAATATTAGATGCTTTGAATAATAAGCTGTTGGGTGCTGGACGCATTTGTAAGTCATCAACTGAATTTGTAGTGGTAGTAGTAACAAGATTACGTTTGAAACGAGGTGCCAATTCCTTATTACTCAGCATATTGTTGTTATCATATTTGTTGTATGAATTCTGATTGCTCATATGATGTCCTCCACCGCTACTACCGCCATGATTATTCGAATTATCATGCTGGCGATGCTTCATCTTATCGAACTTATCATATTTATCATACTTGTCGTACTTATCATACTTTTCATATTTGTTATGATTCATCTTGCCCCCATCATTATTATTGTATTTATTCATAGGTCTTCCATTGTTGTGATGATTGTTCGAATTGTTACCATTATCATATTTATTGTTGTTGTGGTTGTTGTTGTTGTTGTTGCTATTATTATTGTTATTTCGATAGCCCCCTCCACTGCTCATCAGCGAATCGCGTCCAGAATTGTAGCTATTCGGATTAAACCTTAATAAGTTGGGAAATAAGTTATTTGTTAAATAATTGTGTTTTTCAATTTTATTAATTTTTAACTTACGGTCCAGAAATGATTGAGCTAGAGCTGGTCATTGACAAAGTTCCGGGATAATTGTTCATCGATTGCAAACTCAATGGCAACTTATCCATCCAATTACGATCGCCACTATTACGGTTTGATGGAAATTCCATATTGCGAGTACGTAGGTCACGCTGTTGCCTTATGTATTCCTCATCTGTGCTCAAATCTTGAATTGGTACTGGACCTTCAATGCGAGCAACTTTGCGAGGCTTCCAGCAGTCTCTGCGCAGTTCGATGATGTCTCTTAACATGAATCGTATGCGAGGTGGATACTTGAAAGAATTTGATTTATGTTCCATATTATCAAAATATTGATCAATCAAGTTTTTGGACTTCTCTGTGTCGAGATTTCTGCCACATGTACGGAAAATTTGCGACAAGCATTCCATGTCCTCGCATCTGTCGTCCAAATTTGGATAGGGTCTACTTTTTTTATCCAACAATTGTTCAAGCATTTTGTGAAGTGTCGCTTCATTAAGCATTTCCAGCTTAAAAAGTTCTCCAATAAATTTGACATTTCCGAGAATTTTCTGTTTTGCAATGTAACGTCGTTCTTCATCATCGATATCATTGTCAGCTGTCGAGTTTATTATCTTTAGACTGTATTGTGATCGATTAACAAACTTGTCCTGGCAAACGCGAATTAATAATGCCTCAAAAGTATATCGACTGTCGGTTTCTTCAAGTGATGATCCTTCTTTCGATATTCGACGGCATAACTGCGCGTACATAGACGAATACTTGGGCTCATCTAATGCTTTCTCGAAAATCAAATGAATAACACCAAGAAGAATTTTCTTTGAATTTAAATTTAGCGCTAGCAAGTCATCACTCAATTTCTGGAACTTTTCCGGCGTTAGCTTGTTCAAAATACCACGAACCTGAAAACAATTGGCATTATTTTCTATCGATTTAATTTAATAATAATAGTGTACCTTTCTAAATATTTCGTCACGTTGTGCTTCTTCGGTAAGTCCATGTTGTGGTCTCAAAGAAGGTGGAATCCAAGCTCGAATCTCGGGGAGTTCGTTTCTCCCTGATGATCCGCGGTGCTCGGTTCCTGCTTGCTTAGAAACTTCCGTTTTGATGGTTTTTAACAAAATCTCTTTAGGACGCTTTTACAAATAAAAATATATAAACTAAACGTGTATATTTGTAGTCCCAGTACAGTTATTACAATATCAGTCGAATGAGAAAGGAAAATTTAAAATAAGGTTTGTGGCTTTTTCTTATGAAGCTTTAACTTTTGGCTTGCTTTGAATGACGAAACCAATACTCCCACTTTGCTTGTTGAGTTTTGGTTCTCTTCTTCCCCGATATCGCTTCTTCTTATTCCTTATTAAAATTTACTTTTTAGCTATATACCTCTCCTCTTCTCTTGCGTTTGTGTATATTTTGCCTTCTATTCTCTCAATTTATTTTTTTCTGTTAATTTTATTAACTTTAAAAATATATTTATCGTCTCCCTTTAGTTAATGGCAAAAACTGCAATGAAATTAATATAATTGATCAATTAGGTGTCTAATTTATATCAAAAAAGTTTCCAATGATCTAAAAGTTTCTGCATTATAAACTTAAGTAATGACAAATTCGCATCGCCAAAACTATGTTAAAGAAATGTTACAAAGGAAAAAGTTCAATAACCTGTTCCGTTAACGATTATTCATATGAAAAAATATGTGTATATAATGTAAGAAATGTAGAAATTCCATCACCACCGTATCATCACTTTTATTTTTTTCGAAAAACAATCTTGTTATTCCTCTTCAAAGATTTAAGAATAGACTTAATTTAATCGTGAATTGTTGGTGACGTAATGTTGAAAAGTCTGAGCTATTTTCTCTCCTTTATGCAGAAAATTTCAAGTTCATTGCTACTATATTATGCATCGTATGCGCATAGAAGTCATTTGTGACAAAGAAACTTTGGCAAAAATGAATCATTGAAAAAAAAACGAAATAAGATTCATTGCTTGTCAATATTCTCAAAAAAGCTTATTGCGACAATTCAGATCTAGGTCAAGTTCTTTCATTAATAAGGTTTTCTTATTGCACAAAGCATTACAAATTTGCCTTAGTTTGCTTTTATTTTCATATAAAATGTTTCAAATAAGGAAATGGCAGTATAGAGTACAAATTTGGAAATGACAAAAGATGATGCATATTGCATTTTATCTATTAATAGTGGATCAGAGAAAATATTTATTTTCATTTTCTAGCACTTGACGGATGAAATTGGCATAGATAATTTATTACGTTTCAAAAATTTTTATATTTTTTTGCAGTTTATCAAAATGTTCTTCACGTGGAAATAAAATTACTTTATTATTATAATATTCATTAAATGTTTTTGTGTTTTTGTTATTCACGATTTATAATTACTTTTTAAAGAGTTTTGAAATTTGTTAACTTAAAAATTAAGTGAGATAACAGAAAGATCCTAGAATATTAAAGTTAACCAATGTTAATTTTTTTATAAAGTTTGAAGCACAAAGGGTTGAAAATTTTGAACTTTAAAGAAAATGGGGGTAGATAAATATATCCATGATCGCAACTTGAGGGTTAAAAATTATATTTTCGTCATATTTGATGTGGTGCTATATTTGCTCATGTATATTTTTTTTTTACATTGCTGTTTACCGTAAGAATATATTGAAAGTTTCTCGAAACAAAATGACGTCTTCAAAACTCTTAATAATATTAATAATTCGGAGAATTTTTGAGATTTACTCAACGAAATTATGAAAATCGTTTAATTTTAATAGATTCTGAATAAATTTTTGTATTAGCAGAATGAATTAAGTGGAGTTTGTATGAAGAATTTAAAAAAGTCACACATTGCTGGATTAAAAGTTCTGCTTGCTTCCGACATATTTCTTCTTTGAAAAAAAAAATTGAGGTTCCATCATTTGAAAAATTGGCATCTTAATTTTTGACAAATATACCAATTTGATTTATTTTATCTCTCGCAACTATAATGCATATTCTAATTCACAAATTTTTTTACTCATGATAACTGATTAGCTTTAATAATTAATGAAAAATTCACATTTCGCTTTCTTTGTTCATCGCTTTTCTACGATTTTCTCTAATCAAATTTTAAGCATCAAAGTGATCCTTAGTAAATTTCTTGAATTTTTTTAAATACTTTAAGCACCTTAATTACCTTTTATGTACAAACAAACAATTAATTTATTTAAATCCTACTTAAAAACTTATTCCAAAAATTTTAGCTGAGAAAAAATTTTATTACAACTTGCTTTAATTTTATCTCAAAACCGTAATTTCTGAAATCACCCTTCTTCGATTCATTTTTTCAATTTATAAAAACCCTGCACACTTTTCCGTTACGTTTAAGCACGTTTTAGTTTTATTTTTTTAAAAAAAATTAAGTTGAATTATTGGTGCATTATTAATAAGTAAGATTACCTATACATATATAAGCTTAGTCAAAAGTAAGCTCAATTAATGCGACAAAAATAATTTATCAATTTAAAAAATTGCGATTACAGCTCTTATAATATTCTATGTTAATCATTAAATTGATACGAAAAGAGCATATTTTAAAGGAATTTCAAATTTGAAATTCGTATTGCATTGCTGAATTGAGCTGAATTGTATTTTTTGTAGTGATGTTAGTGTTCAAATTCAAATAGTACGCTAGAAATTTTATATGGGCCTCGACTTGTTTTTAAGGATTTTTGCTTAGCGGAAAAAAATAATTTGAATTTTTCACTAACACTATCATACAAAACATCAAAAATTAAATTCTCAAAATTCTTAATTATTCAATCATTAAACCCAAATTTTATGATTTGAATACGAAAAGTAGATGATACATTAGCTGTTCTGACTATTTTAAGAGCTTTTACATCATCATTGGATGATATTTTCGTGACTTTTCAAATTTCATTTTCGATTTTGTTTGTAAACAAACAAATTACAACCGAAAAAATTCAAAAAAGTTCAAACCGCTAAAAACATTTTAACTTAATTTTGTCCATTCAGGTATGTAAACGTAGCATTTTCAAATTTTTTATAAACTCAAGTAGAACAGAATTGAATTTCGGACCTAAAAAAATACATTTGGAGATATATCAATAAACAATAATGAAGATATAGCAAAATTCCCGAAAATTGTACATGACTGACGCTTAATTAAAGTGATTTTTATAAGAAATTATAAAGTTTCAAGAAGTGAATTGTACAACAATAGATGGGGATTTTAATTCTCTTTTCAAAAAAGTAACTCTTAAATTTGTCACTTTTAAGGAAAAGGAGATAATCAAAAATAACAAAGCGTCACTCACGTACAATTTTTTTGTGACAAGGCCCATATATATATTTATTGGATTATTTATTCAATTTTACTTGACTACATAAGATTACACTACAAATTAATACCAAAAAGTCTTCTTGGGTATTCTGTCTTCTTCAATTCCCATTGATTCCATAATGTCCATTTCGAATGTACATAATTTTGGTTTAAATGAAATTTCTTGTGCTACATCAACATCTGTGTCCTTTTCTCTAGTCATATAGAGCTTCTTTCCTTTATAATCCATAGTTTCTTCATTAGCTTTTGGAATAGGGATAATTCGACCAGTTCTTTTTGATACTCTCACTTTCTCTCCTTCTTCAGTGAATCGCCATTCCACTTCTGTAGCTTGTAGATCAGTTGGATCAACTAAAGCAACTTGATTTGTTACTAATAATGGTGCTTCGGATCTAATAACAACGCCTGGATAATCTTTTTCTTTGCCGACTATTCTTAAATGACAATTTAATCCCTCAACCATTACCCAATTTCTTTCTTGGACGACTTGATTTACTATTCCTTGTTTTCCTTTATCCTTTCCAATAAGGACTTCCACACGATCTCCTCGAAAGAAGCCCCAATTTTCAATTGGTTCAACAAAAACTTTCTTTCGCTTCATATTCGACATATTTTGCATTCTAAATTGCGATGTCCATGGTCGATTTGTTGTAAATCTGAAATTTCTCTTCTCGATTGCTGCTTTTGTATATTGTGGTGCTTTTGGTGTTTCCCTATAATTAAGATATCGTGTTATATATTTAAAAATATAAGTTAACCAAAATAAAAGAATATTCACCAATAAACTTGTTCTGAAGCTCTTTTAACGTATGAATCCGGGAAATTTCCAAATGCCTTAGATAATTCGCCTACCTTCTCTAAGATATTGTGTCGTTTAGCATGCAAAATTGTTGTTATCCGCATTTTAATTAATTTTATACTTTTTCTTTGATTTTATATTTCTTTAAAGTGCTCACAACATTTTTGAACTAAATTTTATGGAACCGTTACAGATTTAACATGTGACTAAAGGTAAAATTAATTTTTTGATGGTTCCTGAACAAAATTAATTTTATTGAAATTATAATAAAAATATATTAGATAATTTAACTAATGTACAGCCGAAATAGCTAATTATAATGCTGCAAATAGCAAATAAGAATTAGTTGATGATATAAACAGAAAATAACAACATTAGAAAGTTTCAAAAGATCCAGGAAATATACAGAATAAGTTATGGCATGTTTAATATACTTTCCTTAATTATATAGAGAGATTAGAATATTTGAGAATGTTGTTCTACCTGTTTTGAGGAAGCAAATAAAGTTTCATATAGTGAGGAAGAGTATATTAAAAAATTGGAAAAATAAGTTTTAAACATAATCGACTAGGCACTTGATAGTCATTGCTTAGTCTCCATTATAAAATATATTTTCTCTCTTATTTTCTCCGATTTTTAACAAATCTCATTCATTGAGAAAAGCTGAGTTCTTACACTTTTTTGATGAATCTATTTTTTAAGAAATTTTCCGATTTATCGAAAGTGAATTAAAGGAATATTGTGGACAGATTGTGAATAAGTGAATTGAAAAATTAAAAAGACGCTCAAGCTATAGGAAAAAAAAATTTCGTGGCATTTTTTTCAAAATGTCTATTCCAGTGAATTCTTTATATTCGCTTACTTGGGGCGATTATGGAACTTCTTTAGTGTCAGCAGTACAATTGTTGAGGTGTCATGGTGATTTAGTTGATGTTACATTGGCTGCTGAAGGTCGATCTTTTGAGGCTCATAAAATTGTATTATGTGCTGCAAGCCCGTACTTGTTAAATCTACTAAAAGTAAGTACAGTTCAGTTTTTGCCTCCATATTCTTTTTTCATTCAACGGAACCAAATGTATTATGTTCATTCGAGCACATTCCATCGTATCATATTGCATAAAAATCATTAATCTTATCCTCTGATAATGTCAATTCTGGAGTGACTAGCAAAACACCACTTTGTGCTATAAGAATAAATATAAAAAAATTTCCAAAAAAATAACATCAGAAAATTAATGAGAGCTCGGAGAGGATGTTGTGGATGGATAAAAACAATATATATACACTACGATATTATTGTGCTCAACATAACACACACACTCCGTTCTGTTCATATTCTGAGAACGAAGGAACAAAAAAAAAGTGTAATAAGAATATTGGTCTATGTGGCTATAAGAAAATTGAGCTCAAAACTCAGAAATCGTATAAGATAGATTGCGACGAACGCAAGGAGGAAAAAATAAAGTATTAAAAAAAAATATTTATATATATGAGGAGAAAATAACCAACATGTTTCCCAAAAATAATCTGATGTTCTCTTTTTCCCTCTGTGTACGAACATCCAGCTCAGAAATTCATGTGCTTTTTACGCTCATGCTTCATACATTAGACCCGTTATCACAAATAAATGTGTTCCTTACGCTCAAACTTCTCTGAACCGCATCAGAGATCAAGTTTTTTTTTTTCATTTCATTTTCTGCTTTCAAGTTTGTCTTCTTTTTTTATATTTTATTCATTTTTATTCCTACAAAGTAGTCGCCTCACATAAAAAACTCGGAGTAATACGAGTGAAAAAAAGTGAGCGCGTCGGCCGCAATATCAAAAATGTGATGAGGGAACAGAAAGAATAAAAAAATAATATATACGCATACACATTCAGCATAAGCATGTAGTCGTTGCTTTCATATTCATTCGAATGGATAGAAAGATAGTCTCGAGAAGAAAAAAAATGTATATATGAGTAATGCGCATGTAGCTGTAAAATGGAAAACTCACTTTCTGAAATACCTCTTTTTCTGTGCTTGCTTTTGTTCGCTTTACTCGACATTTCTCACCTAAAAGTATAAAAATATACTCGCACACTGTGCATATTCGTTCTGTAAAGAGAACGTTCCTAAATCAATCGCTCTTTATTTTTATTTTTCTTTTATTTATCTCGTTTCTCGTACATTTCATTCTCAGAATACATCATGTAAGCATCCAATTGTTATGTTAGCCGGTGTTTCGGCTAACGATTTGGAAGCTCTTTTAGAATTCGTCTATCGTGGGGAAGTTAGTGTAGATCATTCTCAATTACCGTCATTGTTGCAAGCTGCACAATGTCTTAATATTCAAGGACTTGCACCACAAACGGTTACACACAAGGATGATAACACTGCCTATACGTCTATTCAAATTCATCCCGGACTCGTTCATCAGGATGTCAAGACTCATATCTTGGAAGTCGGTGGAAACATTGGAGTAAGTCTTTCAACTTTTATATCCAACAATAAATAAACTAATTAATCGCGATTTTAGGAACAAGAGTTAATAATGCAGCAGGCCCCTCAATCCGTTCAAACTCATCATCAAGTCGTCGAAGAAATTCTTCCAGAACAAATGAGCGATGAGGTCACAAAGGAAGTTATTAATCAATTCTTACCACAACGCAAACGCAAGCCAAGAACTCCAAAGACCCCCGGAAAGCCCTCAAAAGTTATTAAAATGGAACCACAAACGTCTGGTTCGGAAAATCTTACAACTGTCACATCGGGATCTATAGATCAAGGAACTGAAATGATTGTCGAAGAACAGGAACAAGTCGGCGAACTCGTTGAACAGGTCTCAATTGAGGAACAATCAATAGACCAAAACACCTCGAATGTATCCGTAAAAACTGAAGGAGGAATGCCAAAAACACCGAAGGACAAGTCCAACAGTAAGTTAATTTTTCATTCCTACTTTTCGTTATTTTAATTAAATTTTAACTTTCCTCAGAACCAAAATCGAAATCACAATCTGAACAGCCCGCAACATGCCCAATTTGCTCTGCCACAATAAGACAATCACGCAACTTACGACGACATTTGGAATTGAGACATTTTAAGAAACGTACACCGAAAAAATTGAAGAAGGGTATGGCAGGTAAATTTTATTTGATAAGCAGCATTTTCAAATAATTATAAATGACTTCTATTTAGCTGATCCAAATGCTGGAAATACATCGACAGAACAGATCATTCAAGAAGGCGGAAACAATACAATCACAGTAACAATGGAACCAGGTTCGGATCAACAAACAATTACAGTCAATGGCCAACAAACAGGACAGCAACATGTTTTGACAACAAATTCTGATGGATCGCTATCAATTTCTGGACTTCAAGGACACATCATCGGAAGTTTGGGAAACGTAAGTTGCTATCAGCTCTCAAATTTTCAAGAAGCATAAAAATTAAAATGAATTTATTTGGAAAATATAGGCGACAATTATTAGAACTGACGATGGACAACAAATTGAATCTGGGCAGTTGATTACAACACATGAGCCATCATTAAGAACATCGACAGGTGAAGTCTATCGCGTTGGAACTACCGTATATCACATAGAAGAGCGTCGTAGTGACCAACCTCGAATGAATTAAGGAAGATTTTTGACTTGACAATTTATCTAAATATGTAAAATGAACAAACAAAAATTGTGTAAAAAAAAGTTTCGGTGAATCTAAATATTTTTATTTAATATAAGTGTTTTCAACTTGCAAATAGAAATTTGCAATAATTGAAATAAGTTAGACAAAAAAACAGCATAAAGCATATGATGTAAATTTCTTAAACAGAAGAAAGATTTGATTGTAAAATTTGTATCTATCAAATGAATGCTTTTAAAATTTATACATAAACGTAAAACAATTTCTTTCTTTTTTTTGCTATCAAATTTATAAGGCGTGAATATTTAATCTGCATAAGTTTTAATTCATTCTATTTCCTTCTTTTTTCAAACGTATATTGTTATTTTTTTTTCTCTTTTAACATTTTTTTATTAATTATTATAACTATTTTATTATATTGGGTTGCATTCATTTTTTTTGTAAGGAATATTTTTAAAAATTAACGATTGTGACTTTATTACATACATACATAAATATATAACAAAAAAAAAATTAGAAAAAAACGAGAAAAAATATAATTGTAGGTAACTTTTAAGGGAAATAATCAGCCGCAAATTCACGGCTATTAAGCGCATTTTTTTCGCAGTAAAACACTTCGAAGTTACAAAAGAAAAATTCGTCGTTTTCATGTCAAACTTCAACCTATATTCAAGCCATGCGTTCATTTAAATAACCGTTAAATTTTCAAAAAAAAAGATAGTCTAATTCTATTCAGCACTGTTCAGCTGTAAATAATGTAAACAAATAAATTTCAAAACTTGATTGCTCTTAATTTACATTATTTTTAAAGACTTTGTTCATTTGTAATGATGATTTGCATCATACTTTTAGCTACAGCATATTTAAAATGTGATGTGCTCTATCTAAAGGAATAATCGTTAAAATTTATTTTTACAAAGAACTTTTGTATGTATTGGTAATAATCATTATTCAAACGCCAAATGTAACGGAATGAAAGTAGCATGGCTAATTATAGGCTATGGATTGCATGGGATGATCAAAATGTTTTTATTTTCAAGGAAAGGCGCTAGAAAATTAAACTATAAATAAGAAATACTTTTGTGGTACAGACATAATGATGAGATTGACTCTTTGACAGATTCTTAAAATGCTGTTCACGTAAAAATAAAATCTACTTGAGTTTATGTCTCGATAAATGAATTAATGCGTTAAAGAGAAGGATGATTTAGATTTAAGGATTATCGTGTTTTTTTGTTAAATGTGTTTTGCAAGAGTCGTTATTAAGAAATTAAGTTGCCTCACGTTTTCTTCTTCTTTTGTTTGAAAAACGCTGAATCTAGTAAAAGATCGATCCGTTCAACGGACGATCATGGTGTATTTTTGTCATGTTTCTAATAATTTCAGTCAAAAAACTAACCGTTTTCAAAAATTTAAATCTTTAAGATTTAATCCGTTGTGAATGATGTAAAATTGTTTAAGAATTTCTTCTCAATTCAAAAATAAAATGCCCATTTTCATAGTCACTTAACAATTTGACTAGCCAGCTCCCATAAAAACTCATTTACACTAGCCTGACAAAAATACACTGATAAGTTAATGAGATAAAACATTACATAGATTACATTTACCGACATAGAGTAAAATTATGCTCAATTATTTTCTTTTTTGCATTATGACCTGAAAGAATTATCGTTATTGTTTTAGACGGAATTAAATCTCTATTAAAAAGCACTTATCAGTTAAATACATTTTAGTCATAAAATGATTGGGTATGTAAATTTGCGAAAATAGAAATGAGAAAATTTTAAATTAATTAACCTTTATAATTTAGAAAAATAACTACAACTCTGCTGAGGAACCAAATGTAATGTTTTCTTTAAATTTAAGTTTAATTCTAATCTAAATCAGATTTTTTGGAAACTGGAGGGAATCATAGATTTTCTTTGTGCAAATATAGATTAATTCTTTTTTTTTATTTTTAAACGATTTTTTTAATTTAATACGAGCCGCACATTTTGACAATTTCAATCATATCGTAGTCATCAAAAAATAATTGTTGTTCATGAATGAGTGCAAAATATTTTTGGATGTCATAACAATGCTGAAATGTGTTACTCGAACCAACATCATTCATCCTGACCCTATTTTTAGAAAAAAAAATATCTGCAAGTTTCGATAGTTTTTCGTTAAAAGTACATTTGATGAAATTTGAGCATTTTGACTGAGAAATCAAAACTATACTTAACAGCATTCAAAAATAAAGAAACTTTAATGGAATGGACATTTTTCACAAAAATTTAATAATCTTTTTTTTTTTGTTTAAAAAATCGCTCTTAATAAAAATGAAAAAAAAAAATACAGAAGGATTGAGAAAATTTATAGCCTTAAGTGTAATAAATTAAGTATGCATATAAAATAATGTCTATAAACTGATAAATTTCTGTCAAAATACTAAAATAACTGTAATTTGAATAATAAAAAAATGAAAAAAAAAAATAATGTTCTTATATTATTATTAATTGTTGCTCCTTGAGTCTCAACACATTTGGCGCGCGCCGAAAAGAATAATAATAATGTTTAGTCTATAACATTACTCTACATGAAATTGAATGAATGAATGAATTGCTGAGAAGAAAAGAGAAAAACGCAAAATCAACACAGAGAGGAGAAGAAGACGTCATTTTTTACATCGGAGATATTTTCTCCATGCCGCTATCCAAGTCTTCTATTTTAAGTGAAAAATTCTCATCCCTTCTCACCACGTGAGGAACGTTGTGTACGTACACGACGATATGAAAAAAAAGAAAAGATGAAACTTCTCAGAGGCCACTATGGGCCAGAAATGGAAAATTTTTCCAAAAATTATTTCTACAGCTTATATGATAGTCCTTATTATGCCCTACATTTACGTCCTTAAAACTTTGCTCAAGTCGACAGCATGTCCGAGATATGGCACTTCAAAGTTGGTCAGACGACCATTTTCACGTTACATTGAAAATGCTCTCACCAGATACTGGATGGATGAATCTCCTTCAAATTTTTTTTGTTAATAGCTTTAAATAGTTACTTTATTTTAAGATATAAACAATTGCAAATAACTTTGAAAAATTTTGTGAAAAACTAGATTTTTCTCAAAAACCACGTGTTCGTCATACTTTCGTTTGTGTAGGTCTTCACAAGCACAACCAAAGTTACTAATTTCTTTTTTATATTAAAGATTACATCAAAAGCTATAACTTTTGGATACATGTCGTATAATTTTAACAAAGTTTTGATAGTGAAAAAAAATTTTTTTATAAAAAAAACACCAATTTTTTGACAAAAATCGCTGTAGTGCTTCAGGGATACCCATGGTAGTGGAATTTTATTTCACATTTAGAAAGCTCTCTAAATATGCTATCAATTAATGCAATAAAATGAACAAGTGTTCTCTTGGCAAAGAGCACTTTTTTGACTCTGAAAGTCGTATGTCGAGCAAGGTCAAAAAAGAAAAATAATCATAAATATTTCAGTTTTAAATAAAATTTAATTTTTTTAATTTAGATTGATAGATCTTTTTAAAACGCGTCTTTTGAGTATAAATATGTCATAGTTTTGTCAAGTTTCATGATCATTTTTTTAAAAAAATAGTTTTTTTCAAAAAAAAAATTGAAAAATAAAGTATTTGACTTTAGAATTTCATAAAATGCATCTTTTTGTCATTTTTTTCACTACTTTGTCTAGTTTTGCTCCTAGTTTTTTTCCTAAACATAAATCAATAAGAACTTAGCATAATTGAAGCCATTTGGAGGTTAAATTGAGTTAAAAATCGTTTAAAATTTTTGTATTTCTCAAATAGTTCTTTACACAAGTATCTAAGATATAAAGTGTTGCATAGTTTTGAAAAGGTATTGAAATTTCCAATATGTTAACATGAAAAGTTTAGGAAAATTTTCAAGTAATATAGTCAATTTGGGTAAAAAACGCATTTTATATATGCTAGTATTTAATGTTTTTCGTTTTTCTCAGCAAAGACTTTATGAAAAACTCTCAAAGTTTGCACTTTTATTTGTTATATAAATGTTGATGACTCGTAAAAGTTTTGGAATTTTCCATTGAGTTTTTCATTAGTTCTCCTAATCTGAAATTTTCACTATTAAATTTTCGTTTTTCTCAACAATTGCGATTTTTTATTTGTAAATAAATATCTTATTTTGTTTCATTTTTCAATATCTTTTCATTGATATGTAACATTCTACGAAAAAATTAAGACTAAAGAGAAATGAATAAAAAAGTGTCAAAAATGTATGAAAATTCTACGCTATTTTAATTTTTTAAGCCTTTTATGGTTAATTTTACTAAGTTTTATAAGAGTGTTATACCTTTTTGCAAATGTATAGCTTAAGACTTTCATCCACCAAAATTCGTATGAGTCTACGATAAGCACAACTGAAGTCAAATAAGCTTCAAGTTGGCGACAACCAAAAATTTTGAATTTATTAAAATTAAATTATTTAAAAGCTTTAAATTATATCTTCAGGCTGCTATTAATTACATGAAACATTTATAACAAAAGTAAATGAAAAAGCTTAATATTATAGCTTAAATAGCATTAAAACTAATATCTGGTTTTCTTCATATGGAACTGTCTTTTGTCGCCAACGTGAAGCTTATTTGACTCCAGTTGTGCTTATCGTAGACTCATACGAATTTCGGTGGATGAAAGTCTTAAGCTATACATTTGCAAAAAGGTATAACACTCTTATAAAACTTAGTAAAATTAACCATAAAAGGCTTAAAAAATTAAAATAGCGTAGAATTTTCATACATTTTTGACACTTTTTTATTCATTTCTCTTTAGTCTTAATTTTTTCGTAGATTGTTACATATCAATGAAAAGATATTGAAAAATGAAACAAAATAAGATATTTATTTATAAATAAAAAATCGCAATTGTTGAGAAAAACGAAAATTTAATAGTGAAAATTTCAGATTAGGAGAACTAATGAAAAACTCAATGGAAAATTCCAAAACTTTTACGAGTCATCAACATTTATATAACAAATAAAAGTGCAAACTTTGAGAGTTTTTCATAAAGTCTTTGCTGAGAAAAACGAAAAACATTAAATACTAGCATATATAAAATGCGTTTTTTACCCAAATTGACTATATTACTTGAAAATTTTCCTAAACTTTTCATGTTAACATATTGGAAATTTCAATACCTTTTCAAAACTATGCAACACTTTATATCTTAGATACTTGTGTAAAGAACTATTTGAGAAATACAAAAATTTTAAACGATTTTTAACTCAATTTAACCTCCAAATGGCTTCAATTATGCTAAGTTCTTATTGATTTATGTTTAGGAAAAAAACTAGGAGCAAAACTAGACAAAGTAGTGAAAAAAATGACAAAAAGATGCATTTTATGAAATTCTAAAGTCAAATACTTTATTTTTCAATTTTTTTTTTGAAAAAAACTATTTTTTTAAAAAAATGATCATGAAACTTGACAAAACTATGACATATTTATACTCAAAAGACGCGTTTTAAAAAGATCTATCAATCTAAATTAAAAAAATTAAATTTTATTTAAAACTGAAATATTTATGATTATTTTTCTTTTTTGACCTTGCTCGACATACGACTTTCAGAGTCAAAAAAGTGCTCTTTGCCAAGAGAACACTTGTTCATTTTATTGCATTAATTGATAGCATATTTAGAGAGCTTTCTAAATGTGAAATAAAATTCCACTACCATGGGTATCCCTGAAGCACTACAGCGATTTTTGTCAAAAAATTGGTGTTTTTTTTATAAAAAAATTTTTTTTCACTATCAAAACTTTGTTAAAATTATACGACATGTATCCAAAAGTTATAGCTTTTGATGTAATCTTTAATATAAAAAAGAAATTAGTAACTTTGGTTGTGCTTGTGAAGACCTACACAAACGAAAGTATGACGAACACGTGGTTTTTGAGAAAAATCTAGTTTTTCACAAAATTTTTCAAAGTTATTTGCAATTGTTTATATCTTAAAATAAAGTAACTATTTAAAGCTATTAACAAAAAAAATTTGAAGGAGATTCATCCATCCAGTATCTGGTGAGAGCATTTTCAATGTAACGTGAAAATGGTCGTCTGACCAACTTTGAAGTGCCATATCTCGGACATGCTGTCGACTTGAGCAAAGTTTTAAGGACGTAAATGTAGGGCATAATAAGGACTATCATATAAGCTGTAGAAATAATTTTTGGAAAAATTTTCCATTTCTGGCCCATAGTGGAGGCGTCCAAAAAATATCTCAAAGAGAAGGTTTTTATTCCTGTGTTATGATTCTTTCCTGCTTTTACTGTTGTTATTGTTTGTCTTGTTCAATGTGCTATGCTGCACAATAAGAGAACGAAACGATGCCTGCTTTATATCTCAATGAAAACAAAAAACAATTATTACGGTTGATCTTATTATTTACATTCAAAAATAAGCCGATATAATTGGCATAAAATTGCAAATAAAGTGGGATTAAGCAATGCTGAAAATTCTGTGTATATAAAAAATACATAGAGCAAGCATGTGAGAGTGAGAGAGAAGAGTGTGGAAAACAGTGAGATTTATGCTGTTTCACAAACTTTCTGTACAAAAACGTTTTTCATTATTATCACATTTTTTCTTTATTCCTTTCAGCAAAACGACTGCACACAAAAGGCATCAGTAAGAGAAGAAAGCAAAGAGAATAGGAAATTTTATGGCACATCATAATACATTTTTATTAACATAAGCTGCTTTTCATGAAAATAAAATAATATAAATGTGGCAAACTTTCACTTATTCCTGATACTGATAAACTCATTGCTTGCTGCATCCCTGTGTGCGAACAAATAATAGAATTGTTATTTTTAAACTCTAAGCACTAAGAGCATGTTTGTGTTTTAAGAGAGCGCATTTTATTAGTCCTATTTAATTGAACTACCTATCAGCATCATGAATGTAGAGTTTATTTTAAAAATCTGTTTGCCGTGACATTGACTTTAACTTAAATCCTGATTCTGATTATGAATTGGTGCATAATTTAGTGAAATTCTTTCATGTCTATTTTATTGCAGTCCTGAGTACATATTAAATTTTTTTGGAAATCTATAAATTATTAAAAACGACCTTAAGTGATCTAGAGAAAAATATCCAGATAGCAGGGTCTGTATTTTAAAAATTACGTTCCAAAACATTTTTAATTTAAAAAAAAAGTAGTTTGGAGCCTTCTTTTCTTGCTGATAAGGAGACAGCTAAACGCCATTCTTTGAATTAATTATTCGCATTTGGATTTTTTTAAACAAACAAAAAAACAAAAAAATAAGCACTTTAAATTTATATGAAATTTTTATCTTCAAGAGAATGTCTAAGCACCTAAGGATTTCCAAAAAACCTAACGAGATTGGACAAAATGTATCAACTTTAATGACTGTAAGCACTACATAATGATGCGATGAAAAGAAACCACAATAAAAGAGCAATCACAAAAGGATGTGTTATGCTCAAAATAAACAATGATGAAATGATAGTAAAATAGAAATTTGTCACCATGAGCTATTGAGCTATTGAACTGTCAACACTTATCAATAGAAAGGAAAACAATTTGATTGAAAAAGTCAGTCAAGTACTTGAATGATTGAAGGACGATCGAGGAGGAAAATTAATTGAGTATTTAATTAAAATGTATAAGAATGAATGAAGAGAGCTACATACTTTGTATGAATTCTTTGAGCAACTCTTTGCTTAAAAAATGAATGACTGCAGAGAAAATTAATAAAAAAAAGTTTTGCTACTTTTTACCGTTTCTGTTATCAATTTTAAATGTTAAATTTTTTTTTATTTGCACATATTCTTCTTAATTCTTTCAAACGCTTTTCTGTTCCCTCCCACAAAACTTTTTATTGGCTGTTGGTGCTAAAAATGTGTTGAGAAAAAATGTGTCCTTATCATACTGCGCGCAAAATCAGACCATGCCATGTGACTTTTATTCAGTGTTTTGTTCATGTATGTGGTAGAAATAAAAGAATTGAAATATGATTTTTTTTAACCACCCCAGCATAATGCAATGCAGTTTTGTACTATTATTCCTCATGACAAGAATACAAATATTTTCACACTTGACTTTCGACTCAATACAGCTCTGACACAATATTGTTGTTTTTTTTTTGTACACACCACGTGCGTTCTGCAGTCAGTTTTTATGTATCCACAGTAGCTGTACAATAGTATAGCGAGGAAAGAAATTTTCTTTTCACTTCATCATACAAAAGGATACAATTGTTAGGTTTGGTGACTGCGCATTGTTTTGCATTTTTATCGTGTCTTCCATTGTTAAACAGTATCGAGTGAAAAAAAAACACAAGAGAAATCCTTTACATCGACAAAAGATTGGATGAAAAGCAGAGTGAAAAAAAAATTGTTTGCACATTGATAAGGACTGGATTTTGATGGCATGATTGTCATACATTCACACACTGACAAAGCTCTCGATCACGTTTTTTTTTATATCTGAATTTCTTTTTTTTTTTGTGTTATCAACAAACAATTTTTGAGCATAGTGCTTTCGGTGTTTGACCTGAACACATTAAAATAAAAATAGCAGAAAATTATCCTGTGCTTTACATAAAAAATATATAAAGAAAGAAAAGGATCTAGAACAAAATAATTCTTAAATCGGATTAATTTTTTTTAAGTGCAATGAATTTTCCTAATCAACAATATATTTTGAGGATTGTGTAGTGTAAATCAGAAGGAAGTTAAATATTTTTTTTAAGGAGTAAAAAGTGTCAAAAGTTATTTTTTACAAGAAATAATAAAACCTAGGAAAATAAATAAACAAAAATCCTGGAATTGATTGAGGAAATAAAAATTTTTAAAATTTTAAAATCGCCCTTATTGAAGATGACATCATTCTCGTCCAAATCACACTCAGCAGCATCAATGGATCATTCAAATTCGAATCATATTAAACGTCCGATGAATGCATTCATGGTATGGAGTAGAGGACAGCGACGAAAAATGGCAACAGAAAATCCAAAGATGCATAATTCTGAGATATCTAAAAGATTAGGTGCAGAATGGAAATTGCTAACAGAAATGCAAAAGCGACCGTTCATTGACGAAGCAAAACGGCTACGGTATGCACTAGAAAATTTTATTTACATTTCATATGGATTAAAATAAGAACAATGAGTACCATTCATCATACATGCTCATATAATAAAGTCATTTTGAATCACATACATTTGCTATCAATTAATTTCATTGTACTTAAAATCACATCAATTGTTTGGGTGTGAAACAATAAAAAACAATGCAATTATTATTTCTGTTATAAATTCGGAAATGTGGTATATTACCGTACAATAGTAATGAATGCATCCTACAGAGAAATCATCATAGATACATATATGTTAAAACCTTAACAATAGTTGTGTTTGAAAGGATTCATTGAAAAGGATTAAGAGCAAATTCTTTTATGTTTCAATTTATATTTAATCGTGACATCACATTTTTAATTTAATCAAGCATTTATGTCCAGCATGCTTTAACTTTTGTGCTAAGTTGTATGTTTTTCAAAAAATTAATTCCTTATTTCATTGAATTTTAATTAGAATCTCTTTATGAGTCGATTTTTTGGTAAAGTAAAGGTTATAATGTTTTGGTAAAGGATAAAAATGGTGCCTACATTGAATAAAATTGCAGATCTTTAAAAAATCACTCAAAGTTTGAGCAAATTTAATCTTATAAAAAAGTTCTTTTGTTATTAACGAACAGTGCCTTTTTCATATTGAGATTATGCAGCAAATTTTATGATCCTAAAATAACATTGAAAAATCATAATAATATGACAATGGTGAGCATGTACAGTGAGAAAATTTTACATCCCTAAATTCGTGACAAATTTTCATGACTTTTTCAATGCACTTCCGTTTTATTTCCATTTGTGTCCAATGCTTGATTAAATTGTTATAATTTAAATATATGGCATGCTTATTTTTTAGAGAAAATATCTCTTTTTTTGTCCTATATGCTATTGTTATCTCATGATGCAGCTAAAAAAAATTCTCACTCGTCCTGCAATCTAAAAAAACATATGAAAATGAAAATTTTTGTATTGCACTTATTTTGTATTCAGTGTGATGAAAATCCTTTCCATAGATATGCAAATATAACATAAACAATGCACAATTTAAAGTGCTATTGTCAGCTCAAAAGAGCGGAAAAAATTCAATGAATGAGTTGAAAAATGTCAGAGAATCACGATTTGATAACATAAAAATGTCAATGTTTGTCATGTCGCATAATAATTATCCTGAGCTTTTGTGAAGATATCCGCGCGCTCGTATGGAACTTTAGGGAGCAGCACGTGGAATTGCATGAAATTGAATATTTAAAATGCATTCAAAAGAAAACTGGTATTTCCATAGACATTGTAAAAATGCTGATAGATCACCGACACATGATAAAAGACCTTAATGATGAACCATCAAATTAAATCACCATTCATCAATCAAATGCCTTTCAATTCAAACGCACTGAATAGCTAACAAATTGTTTTCCATTCACTTACATTTTTTTATATCAAATTGCAAAAAAATTGAGCTGTTCTTTGAACTAAATATGACTTTATTGATGGGTGAATAAGAATTTTTTATTTTTATTTTTATTCACAAATTGAATTGGATGTGTGAAAAAAAATTCAGTTAATTTCATCAGTTCATAATGAATCCTGCTTTTTTTTCATATTAAATTGCACCAGATATACATTTGCGGTCATATCTTTTAACTCAATTAGAGACTATTTGATTATTATGACAATTTAAATAAATTGTTGCAAACATTTTTTTTATGTATTTATCATTTGGTAATTAATGACTCTTTATTTTTGTGAAATTGATATATATATATATGATACGTCACAAATATACTTTAGCAACCTGATCGCTGCGAATAAAATTGCAACTTAATAATTATGATGAATCACCACATTAGGCAGTGTAAAAATTCTTTAAATTCTTATTTTTGACACGCCACACTAGTCTTGACTATTTTGGTATTTTTAAATTTTATTTCACTCAAATTCACATTTTTGAGTTCCCAACTTAAAAGTTAAAAAAATTCTTATTATATAAGAGCTGGAAATTCAATAATTATAGCCTAGTTATTAGAAAAACAACGTTATTCTTAGGTTTATTACATTTAGAATTAGGTTAAAATTGAGATATTTTAAATATAAACCATTTCGCGCTCCCAATATAAATGCAATTTTGATTCAATTACATTTCCATTTTGATCTTTGAGTTGATTGACGCCCATTTGCCAATATTAAATTAAACTTTAAAAAAAAAACACAATTTCTTAATATTTTATTATATTTTGACAAAAAAAAATCATAATTTTGTTTCAATTGTTGTGCAAACATTCAATTTCGATTGGTATGAAGTGATAAAAAGAAGCAAGCAATATAGAAAAGATGAAAAATAAATTCGTAAGGTGTGCCGTTATCAAAATCTCTTTGCAATATTTTTTTTCGTTAAAAAATTATATTAACTTTCGCTTAAAACCCAAATAAATGTACAAAATCAATTAAGGAAAAGAAAACGAAAAATTTTCTTATCAATTAATATCAATAAAATAAAAATCTTAAAGCCTATGTGAATCATTTCATTCACAACACGCCTTCTCTTTCCCGTTCCTTTTCTTAAGATATGCTTTATTAAACAACAATGGTTGTCTCTTATCGTAATCAACAACAATAAATAGTAAATAATAGATATACGGTGACATATAATAAATACACGAAAATTGTTAATTTTTCTTATCAATTTTTATACATTTTCTTGCTTATTCTTCTGTTGGATTATGTGAATGCATTTTACCACCGCGTGAATCATAAATAATAAGTCAATTTTTTTTTTCTATTTGCTGAAAACTGATGTAGGTGTTTGAATATATCAAATAATGATATTGACATGTATATTTAGGATCTCGATATTTATTTTATGAATAAATTCTTATAAAGCTACATAAAAATTTAATGTTTACACAAAAATTATCATAGTCAAGTTTTTGTTTTTTGATTCATTAACATAAAGAAAGAGAAAAGATACCAAAATCTAGTTAAAACCTAGTAAAATCTAATAAATTCGGAAAAATCGCGCAATTAAAAGTATTTAATTTTCAAAGTATTCAGCCTAAAATCCTGCCTAAAATCAAATATTTTGTTACGAATTTATTATTGAGCTATTTATAATGACTTACTTTTAAAGAGAAGGATTTTTTTTAAAAAAAATGAGTTGTAAATACATTATAAATGATATACAGAGAAATAATAAAAAAAGGATAAGACTCTTCAAAACTTTGTAATTACTTCGTTCCAACTAAGAAAATTGAGAATGTATGAATTGGCTAGAAATGACATAAAATTGATGTCGATTTCGACCTCTATTAAGAAATTAGATTTCAAACCATGCAATGCACCCAACCTCCTTGCATAGTTTTCAAATTTGTCATATTTTTGGACGATTGTGGAGTCAACTTTCAAATCTTTACTCTAAAGCGTGTCAAAAAGTTCTAATCTGTTTCGAAAAAGCACAGACAAAGCCTGGAATTATATTACGTTTAAAAATTGCGAGCTGAAAAAGCTCGGTGACAGAATTTGGTTCTTCCGTGCTTAATTATTGAGTATTTTTGAGTAACATACTTGGCATTTGCATGGGATTTGTCATTTCTTGAATCATTTCTACTTTGCTGGGAAAGAAGCTTATCCTATTTTTACGTTACTAGTCAGTGGCTTATTTGATGAAAGAAGTTTTCAAAATCACGAAAAAATGCTTAATAACGGGTAGTGCCTTGTTAAAAAAATTCCAACAAACAAGAAAACTTAACACATTAAATTGAAATCGTAAATATTTTAAGTCAAAATTATCTTAAAACATTTCTTGCTACCTAATCGCATCATTTAATAATTTTAAAACTATTTGATGTAGTTTAATTAATCGAAAATTGGTAGTGGCTTAATAATGAAAAAGAAAATTTTTCAGAGCCAATTTTCTTTACTAAGCTACTGGCTGAGTAACGATTAGAGCTATCTAACGTATAAATAGTGTAGTACCTTTCATTATAGACTATTAGATCATAAAAACATCAAAATAATATATATACGAGTGTCTAAACGTGTATATAGGCAAGAGAAAAAGAGAGTTTTTGATGGTGATGAGAAGGAAGAAGAAATATTAAGGGATTCTTTTGGTCGCAATAAAAAAGGACTTTCATTCATTCTATTATATTGTGTAAAAAATAATGCCAACAATCGTTGAGCAAACAACAAAAAATATATATATACAGAAAGAGAAGAACGAAGGCAATTGAGAGTGCTTTCTTTATGATATATAGGTTGCTGATAAGAAAAGGATACTATTTCAAGCTATTATTTTTTCATTTAATATTTTTTCTTCTCTTTATCTCTGTTTTTCTGCTGGTTCATTTTATTTTCATGGTTTCATTGTCTATCCTTCTTATATCGCATTGTAGAATAAATAATGAATGTTTTCATAAGCGTTTTGTTTGCCACCACTTCCTAAAACAATTTTTGCTCTTAAAAAGTAATGAAATAACTGGAAATAACAAAAAAAAAGTTCTTATTGTTCGTGCTTTCATTTCATTTCCGACCCAACTGACAAATCTATTCAATTTTATAGCAATATTTCGTTTTTTAAAATCGTTTCAGGTCATTACATATGCAGCAGCATCCAGATTATAAATATCGTCCAAGAAGAAAGCCTAAAGCACTCGTAAAATCTCCTTCTTCAAATGGACATTCAAATGGCACACACAATGGAAGTGCTTCAAGTAATAATGCATCACATCATCATCACTCAAGTAACAACAACAATAATAATGATTCAAGAAGCTCCAATAATAATCTACACCATAATTCAAATCATCATCATCATTCACTGAAATCGACATCTCCAATTATGAACAATCATTTCCACCCACACCATCATCATCATCATCATCAGTCCACAAAATATCCCTTCGTTCCCACGATAGAACTGCCAATTTCATTTCCTACATCACAGCAATCCCAACAACAAGTATTTCCATCGAGCATTCATTATCCCTTAGTTGATCCAACACTCGCATTAGATTTGCAAGCTCGTCTTCATGCCATGTACATGAATGCTTATTATCCTTGGAGACTACCATTAATTTCTTCATCATCTCCGTCGTCACCATCTCAATCAAATAATGGAAATCATTATGCATCATCCCCGAAAATTTCACCAACAACAACAACTAATTCGCCTCCATTATGTGAACCTGACACACAAACAACAATCATATGACCCACTCCTTTAAGATTCCTTAATTCAGAGTAAATTAGGATTTCCTCTAATTTTTTTTCCTGTTTTCATGTGAAAAGGACAACCTGAATGAATGGATAAAGTTGTATAATACAAATCTAATACAGTAATTAAATTTACGAGGCATATACACTTAGTGTAAGTTTTAAATAATTGATTATTTTAAGAATTGAAAGCAAAATCGTTTTTAAAATTATGATAAAGTAATTAAAAATTCAGTAAAGAAATTAATTTCTTATTTTTAAACTAGTTGTTGTGCAATCAATTTCTTAATTACATTCAAATTTACATTTACTTTTATTTTTTATAGTTTTCTTGGTTTTCTTTCTAAATTTGAAGGAAAACAAAACTGATTGGAAAAGGAATGTCAAATAAAGAATATCTGTTTTCACAAACGTTGCAATCAAATTTCATATTTAATCTTTAATACTTTTTTTTCATGCAACTCTTGAAAATTATTGGAAAAATAAAGGTAGGTATTGAGTTATAAGGCATTTTTGGTAACAGCATAAAGAATCAAAAGAATCATTTTTATTCCATGATTTCTAGTAATTTGACAGGAAATAAAATTAGCTAGTCTTTTTTATTGAATACAATACGAGATACATAGAAAAATTGGTGTACATTGTTATGTCTATACTGGAATAATATAAAGACATACATTATCAAAGGGTGTGATATTATTTTATCAACAATAGTCCTCATTGTTATGCTCAAGAAAACCCAACTGATAGATTTCTGAGAAAAAATATTGAAAAGAAAAAAAAAATATTTTTAAATAAAAATAAAACCTAAGCAAATTGTTGTTCATTCCTGTCACGACTGAATTTATGCAATTGATTATTGTTCATGCCGAATAAAAAATTCCGTACACTATTTTCATGGTTAATCTATATTTATTTGCTATATTTATGAGGTTGGGATGTTTGTCTTCAAGCATCAAGAATGAAAAGTTGGTAGATTGAAAATTGTAATCATGCTTACTTGTCTTCATCATAATTACTTTTTAATTATGTTTTATATTCAATTTTTAAAATGCGAATTTTTATTTAATTATCTTCAGTTTTTCTTTAATTTCAGTTCTTCATTATATTCTTATAATTCATGTGATTTTTTCATAAGAATCTCTTATAAAAGAAATTCAATTTTCTCTCTCGGTATAGACAGCTTATATAAAATGGTATGTTTAAAAAAACAATTTGCACTCGAATGCTCAAAACAGTGGAAAAATTGAAGCATGCATTCAAAATACAAAAAAAAACGAATTCTATAGAATTGGATGATAATATGTGTGAATTATTTAAAGATTTCTTTTATGATAGATTTGCTATTTTAAATTTTTTTTAGCAAAAGAACATAATCTGGCAATTGTTGGAAAAATTGACATCAATCCACAAATCTCACAAGGATGAATTTTTCTCTTTTGAGATTTTCTTTATAAATCAAAGACAATTGAGCACATAGGATATATAAAATGCGAAATGTATCATTGCAAATGTCCTTAATCTTCTTTTCTCGTCTCATATATTTTATTTTATATATTCAAAACAAGTTTTATAGCCTTTCTTTTCCTTTTAGACGAAGGAAATTGGATCGCAAAAAAGTATTTCAATTTGAGATAGATTTAAATGAAGTGATTTCTTTTCTATTCTGGCTCATACAATTGTGATCCTTTGAAGAATATTTTCTTTTTAGCTTTATTTTTCGAGGCAAGTGGCTGCATCTTGGCATAAATTGGCCTATTTCAAACTTCCAATTGCTCTAATTAGATTAGCACACAATTGTAGTTTTTGTTCATTAAGAAAACTTATTAGATATAAACTATAATGATATACTTCATACATCATTTTAAAGCAGGGTTGAGATACAGGAACCTGTGCACAGATCAGAACCGTACAACTCTTTGATAATTTGTAAGGTTATATTAGAATTTGGATAGTTTTTTTAGAAAAACCTTATAAATTATCAAGAAATTGTACGGTTCTCACCTGTGCACAGGTGCTTGTATCGCAACTCTGTTTTTAAGCTTCGTTCCTGCCCTGAGAGTTTGACTTAAACGTTAAGTATGAGACCAAAAATATTAAACTAAAGCACTTTTCATAAAATTTCTTCTTAATGCTGCATTTGGTTTTGGAGAATTTTATATCATTAGAAAGGGGATTCAAGGCTTATTAAGTTTGCGTTTGTGAGTTTTTGAAAAAAAAATTCACTCCCATTAAGATTATAAGATAAACTAATTAAAGTATTGCTGACCTAATATATATAAAATCTGTGCATATCAAAATGATGAACTATCCTATTCGTAAGCCACAAACAGCTTTATATTATGCGCTCTAATCATTCTGTCATGAGAAAAATAGTCACTGGCCTGAGAATGTTTTCAGTATACAAAATAAGCTTAATGTGACTGAAGAAGAATCATGGTACATATCTTGTTCTCACCGGAAGTTCTGCAAGAATTCATATTAAACCCTTTTATTTTTTTATGGTCCTCTAACAAATGGGATAGTTTTCTTTCTGCTTTTTCTTTTATTGATTATCACGACGACCAAAAAAAGGACTGAAAGGTCCACCAAAGGATTTTTTATGATTTTCATTTATTTATGTTTCTTTGAATATGCAAAAAAAAGAAAGTTTTGTCATCAAAACGAAGCATAAATCAAAAAAGTTTTGACGGAAATTACAAAATTAATCTTAACATTCATTTTTGAAACATAGAAGCATATAGTTTCATAAAAATGTCCAAAAGAAGTGCAATGCGAAACATTTATCGTTCATGAGCTGGAAGCAACATTTTACCTTAAATGACATTTTGCATATTGAAGTAATGAAATTATAAATCAATTTACTTTTACTTCTCGCTTGTTGACAGTGACTGCTTTTGCACTGAGCAGAATTATTTTATTTTATAAAAAAAAATCATCAGCACTAAAGGTAATGTGGTGGTGGTATTTCATGTATTTAATAGACAATTTATTTTGTGTAAATATGGTTACTGTTAAACGTAGCGTGTATTATAAAACATGATGATGTTTCCCTTATGTATGCAAGATATTGATGAGAAATTGAATTAAATTTGTGGAAAAAAATCAAAATAATAAAATCACGCGTAAATATTGTTTAAATTGGCGTAAATAGCGTAAGCGAGTGAGAGAAGTGTGAAAAAGTCACCCCTTCTTATTGAATCTGTGCTGTGTATATATTTTTAAAAAAAAAATATGTATAAATTCTATTCTCAAGAGCTCGCGTGTGAATGAATTGGGAATGAGTTACAATAATATAATATTATGGTGCACCAATTCAAATTTCTCTCTTCCTCAAATCCCTTTTTTATTTCCAATCATCACAAATAGATAGCGAACAAAAATTCATAACACAAACGTCGTCATCATCACTTTTACCCTTCTTATTCTACATACATACTATCCTATACTGTTATCACTTTCACTTGCAAATTGCAGTAACAAATTGATAATAATAATAATAATTTTTTTATTATGTGGGTATGAAGGTGTAGGCAGGCACCCAGAAAAGTCAACATACTTTGTTCAAGGACATTTCTTTCTTTTTATTATTTTTGAAAGTGAAAGCTAATTGATGATGACAAAAAAAACAACATTGACATCATCAGCCGCAATCATTGCTTGCTGGAATAAGAGAGAGAGAGAGAAAAAGATCCTTTGTAACACATTTTGAGTTTCCTATTTTTTTTTCTTTTTCATTTCTTCTTCACTTTTTCTTATTTTATGGTTTACTGATAAGAATGCCAAAATGTATAGAGCTTCCTGAGAGCATTATGAAACATAATACTACATTTAAGAATGCCATTATATTCCTTAACAAAAAAATACAAAGACGATACAATGTAACAAACTCCCTATCAATTCCGCTCTTTAGTAAAGTCGTTGTAAGAATGAAGATAAAAACAATGAAGCAGTATGTAGATGCTCCTCCTTTTCTCTTAGCACATCGCCTTTTAAAAAACAGTTTTTTTTTTGCCTTTATTTTTGTGAGTACGCGTTAACGTCAAACATCCGGTTTTGTTATCAAGCAAGCAATTCAAAAGTTCACGATGTTGATGACTTTTGAATTATACCGTGTTCCTCACACTTTCTTGTTCATATTTCGTAAACGTTATTTTTTTTGTTAGGTAAATTAGAGGAGAGAATAATGAAGATTTGATGAGGCAAGAGAAACTTTCCTAATTTATTCGCTATTGTATGTGCATTATTGAAATATGAAAACATAATAAAAAAACGTCCTTCACGCTTTTTTTATTTCATCATTTTCTTGTCTTATCAACAAAACGCAATCAAAGGGCAAATGTCTATTTAAGTCAGGAGAAGCAACAAAAAAAAAGAGGGTACAGATAAATATCTCGATACGCCTTCCTCATAAAGAATATAAAAAAATATTCCCGCACGTTTTTCTATCACTCAATGAAAACAAATAAAGGAATTGTTCACATTTTGCTATGAATGAAGGAGTATTAATTTTAATTTAATTTAATTTAATTCTCAACCAAAAAAATTGTCATCATGAAGTGGAAAATATTGGTTTATTGTTTAAGCAAACGGAAATACATCTATTTTGGTAAAGTGGGAAAATAAAGTCATCTCATAAGAAAATTAATTATCTACGAAATTATTATTCATTTTGTGAAGGAAAGGAAAACGGAAAATGTGCTGAAACTTCGCGAGCTATTTCAAAAGTTTTTACTATTAATTACTAAAGTTATGAACAGCGGAAAAATGTTAAAAGACGGTAAAAAGTTTCAAGTTGTTATAGGAAGTGTTCCTTTTTTGCAAAATATTTTAAACACTCATAAATTGTTTAATTTACATTACTTATTTTTCAATCAGCGTTCTATTCATCCAAAGGAGCATATAAAAAGTAGGTATGCATAATTTATTTATCGTTCCATTTTTTTTTTCTTAATAATTTGAAAATGTATGAAAAGAAATTAACCTGTCGAAAATGGCTCAACTCAATTATCATATTTTATCTTAATCAGTAAGAATCGAACAATGTGCCATGTGATTTAAAATTTCTACCGGATTTTTTTTAAACTTAAAATATTTTAATATTAAGCTTCAAAGAGACAGTTTAAACAATCAAGTTTGTTATTAATTGCTACTAAAAGTTTATCGGTGGAACTAGATAAAGTGCTCAATTGTTCATTCAAACAGGCTGAGTGAAACGGTTTTTTGATATTTAAATGTCGGCTTTTATTTGTATTATTTACCCCCTGCTTAAAAAATAAATAAAAATAATTTTTGGTCAGTCCGTTTTAATTAATCACGAAAAATTGAACGAAATGGACACTTTTAAAAAGATATTAGCCGGAGTTTATTTACAGTACGAGATAATTTTTTGTATGGGCTATCTCGAGCCATGGGAACGACGATTAATAAGTAAGTAAAAAGAAATCTTTTAATGATTTGATGCTTCATAGAAAAGTTCTTAAAATATTTTCAGATACAATCGTATTTTGCAGCATTTTTTTGATGATATTCTCTGCTTACGTGTTTCTTCCTGATTATCTTAGCAACTTAATGGAATTATTTAAATCTCATGACTCGAATAGTGGATTCCAGCCTATGTCATAAAATTTATGAGCATCAAAATCTCTTTGTCTTGTATATTATTGTATTATCTTTTTGAATATTTATTATTAAATCATTCTCTTTAAACCAAAGCTTCCAATTTAATTATCTTTATATATTTATCATATTTATAAAAAAAAAAAAACAAGAATTACATGTCTCTTAAAGTTTAAAATCATCACCATTAATTCCATTAAAATGTAACAAGTTTTTGACATGTTTAATTAATTGCTGAACATGTAAAAATAAGTATTCTGGAAAGTAGGAATGTACTGCCTGTATGGTTCAACTATGAACCTTGCAAATGGAATAGCATTTAATGCCTTCATGAAGCTGTCAATCTTATCATTTGAATATTGATCATAGAATGGTGATCTTAAAATATAAAGCAGCATGTTCACACATCTTCTACTCAGTTCCTTCTTTTGGTCTGATGTCATATAATTCCTATGCTTATAATATTGAAATATGCTGAATGTGTCAAGAAATAGTGAAAGTAAATATGATTTCCAAGATTTATAGCCAAAAGCTGCAACGGAACCTAAGTGAAGTATTGGCTTCATTATATACACAATTTCTGCGTTTTTAATTGCATGATGATTAAAATTGCCAAATCGATCAGTTTCCTCCAATTCGTCAGGTACTATAAAATTTCTCGAGTATAATGGAGGTGAATTTACAACTTTTCTTATTGACTTTCCGGATCTTCTCAATTTTATTACCACCGATTGTGATTTAGCTAGTTCTGGTTGAAGTGGATTATTTTGTGGTTGTTGCTTAAGAACATTTTTACGATCCAAATACTCTAGTGCTGGACTTTTGGAAATACGATTTTTATATTTTAAAACTAATACAAGTCTTCCTATACATTTAACAACTTGTATGATAGCTATAACTATGAATTTTTTCCTGTTTCCAAGAACCCTTTTTGATGATATTTCAATGAAGACCTCAATATTCTCTAAAATTGTGAGGAACAGCTTTAATTTTTGCTCCTCGTCATTAGCATTTGTTCTTTCAGTTTTGTTTAGTTCTTTCCGTATTATAAAGTCATTAAAAATCACCAATAAATGACTGAAACTGAGTAATCCTTCGCTAAGTATATTATCGTCAGTAATTTTCCCTATAAAGATTTTTTGATAAGTTGTAACATTAAAAAGACACCGATAAATTAGCAAATTTGTACCTGATACAAAATAACTCATGTATTTTGTTAATAGCTCGATATCGCTGCATGTTTCAGGATTTGATGCTATCAACTTAGAATAAGACGTGAATAATTGCTTTCCTAAACTCATTTTAAAGTTGAAATATCTAAATAATGAAATATTTTTGAACCAAGAACTTTGAACTATACGTTTAAAATGTTACAACTTATACGCGCATTAAATTTAATAAAAACTATTATTGTTTTAATTCAACTTCCTGTTTCTTAAATCCATCTGAATATTTAACGGATATTTTAAAATAAATTTTAAAGACCAATAGTTTCTGATCCAATGTTAATGATGAAATTAAAGACATACCTATAATATCTCAAACCCATCTATTCTAGATTACACTTTAGAATCACTATAGAATCAAAGAAAACAGTTTAAATCACTTAGATAGACACAAAGACAGAATAAATACAGAAAAGCAGTTTTTAAGACACGTGTGCTAAAAATATTGAAAAGTTCAAAACAAAAAAAACAGTTGACAATTGTTGAAAACCAAAATAAAATCTTTTTAGACATGTTCGAGGTTACTGCTGACAGTGAACATCACAAGTTTTTATCAGTGTATATCAAAACTGCTCACAAGACTATTATGATGAAGCAAAAACTTAATGTTTCAATGTCAAATTCGAAATACTGGGCAGTTAATTATGAGCCAATGTGAGGATAGAACTAGAAACCAAATTCAAAAAAAATCTTTATTACTCTTTAATTAATCTGTCCTTTTTGTTCTCTTTTATCGACATCTCTTTCAAATTCCAACAGTATTTAGATATTTGATTTTTTTTTTTTTATTTTATGATCGAAGCTATTGCTTTTTTTTTTTTTTTTTTTTTTTAAATTGATTCATTTATTGTAATTTAGTATTAAACTGTATTTTACAAATGCATAACGTTACGAAATTAACTTATTCTAATTGATTACATATCACACCATAGGTTCTTTAAATATAGATGCTCTCTTAAACGCGCTTTAAATAAATTGATACTATTAAAGAAGTTACCTTGGTGTTTAAAGATTTAAGCGACACTTGCCAAAATAAAAAGGCAGAGTTTAATTAATGAAATGTTATCAATAACGTTGAAGAATTTGAAAAAATAAAAATTAATTTGATGCCCACAACTAGGGTTTGGGAAACCTGTTAACAGAAAACAGAAAAACAGCTGTTTTTCGTCAAAAATCTGTTACCAGGAAACAGGTCTCAAAAACAGATCTTTTTTCTGTTTTTCATTTTTACATATAATTAACAGAAAAAAAATTCTTAATTTTTTGAAGAACTTAATATATTTTTCTAGCATTCCAAATTGAAATGTATTTACTATTTTAATATTTTTTGGATGTTTAATAGCTTTGAAATCATTGTCAAATTTATGATTAAAATCATTATTAATTTTGCAATCGAAATTTTAAAATTGTTGAACCTTTTGGAATATTTAGGTACTAAAGCTCAAAAATATAATCAACAATTTTACAAGATATTTTTTTATCCAGAAAGATTTTTTGAATATTTCAAATAAAGTATTAGAGTTTATGGAACTTTTGCAATGCAACAATGCAATGTTTCTTAAAAGTATAAATATTTTTTTTTTGAATTTTTACATTTCATTATATTTTATAGAGTTAATTAACGAAAAATTAAGAAATAATAATGCTTAGCTCTATAATGTATGCTTAACTGCTTATAACCACCAAAAAGTTTCATTATCTTAGAGAAACAATTAGGATAACTCAGTTTATTTTGAATTCTAGAAAAACAGGAAAACAGCTGTTTTTAAAAATCAAAAATCGAAAACAGACTATTTTTCAAAAACAGCTGTTTTCCACAAACCCTACCCACAACTTTACATGATTTTAAACTTAAATTGTCTTGTTTAAGCATTCATTATTGATTGCAATTATTCTTATCGCAGATCATGTGAAGTAAAGTAGCTTTTTCTCTAGCTTATCTTAACAAAATTATAAAAGGCTTTAAGGATCAGTTCATTAGACCTGCTGATTTTCGCTGGAAACGATGCTTTAAAACGAGCTTTTGGTTATGAAATCAATGTTGATCATGCCACTCTAGATAAAAATTGAACGAAAACAAAGGCCATAGCAAGTCTCACAGTAAGGCAAAAGTTTTACTGAATGTCGATCAACTCAAATTTTTGGATAAGTGCTAATTTCTCTGATTGTGCCCAATCAACATTTCTTCTTTATTTAATTTGTTATATATAAATCATAAACTCCTTCTTAGGCACAAATTATTCGAAGGTTTGGGTTTTTGTAGACACAACAACTCGAATACGACTCACTGGATTTCAGAGTGAAGCACAGACTTGCGAAACCTTTTTCCTTATGAACTAGGCTTTCGTTTTATTAATGTATATTTGCTCTAGCCACATGGGATGTTTTTATCACATTTTTCATCTAAATTCACTTTTAAATGCTACTCAAAATCTTATTAATAATCAAACTGTATTTAAATTAAAACCTTAAAGATTTGTGTTAAATCTATTTCCAAATGTAGCTGAACATAATTCAATAAATAAAAGCACTATTATTATTATTAAAAAGCTTACCTTTGTATTCTTGGTATCTTGCAGTCTTCTTTCAGACAGGTTTACTTTTTTCTATTCTCAATAAAATTTTCACTACATTTTCCAAGCTCCACATTTATTTATTATTATTTTATTTCATTGCTTGCTTTTTCAATCAATTACTTTTGAATTTTCGTGTCATTTTAATTTTACTCAAAAAACACTTGGTGAACATCCAAAATATTAATTCTTTCAACGGATCCATCGGTTTCAAACTTTAACAGTTTCAAATCACGCACGAATATCAAAATATGTCAGATATCTTCAACGATTCAGAAAAAAACCGAAGAAAAGTAATGAGGTAAATTAAAATTTTGAGGAAAGTTGAAAAAAAGTTCATTTGATTTAATCTTTCATTGTCACAAAAGCTCATTAACATCGCTTTTAAATAAATCAACAACTGATGAACTGATGGATGGATCTCCGAAAAAAAATGACGAATCAACTACAGCACTGTCTTTTGGTATGTTAAATTTAAATAACATTTGACGTTTAAACTCAGTAAAGCTCCATTACCTCCTCAAATATCATCCTTACTTATTGAATGCACAAAAGCCTCAAATGTAGGGAATGATAATGAAAATTCGATTGTTAAGAATATATATTCTGAGAATTCTGCGAGCGCACGAATCTTGTTCAAAGTAACACGATCCTATTCGTTGTTCTCTGAAAATGAATAATAAGGTAGTTCAGAATTAAAAAGTACTCCAAGATTTCGTTTCGAATCATTTTATGTTCAACAGAATGAATATTTGGCCCATTAATAGAGAAATGCTTTGTCGTGATCATGAATTTAGGTATAAAACATTGTACATAAATTAAGTACACAAATTTGTGCAAATCAGCATCCTTTTGTGGTAATATCTTTCTTATCACAGATGACAAAAAAACTGTTTATGCTTCAAGTATCAATGGTATATCCTTTGATAAATGGCAATCCAGTTGGGGTCCTTAGTTGATAATCACGATATTCTTGTCCAAAAAAGTTCAATAAAGTTATCTCTTCCATATAAATCCTTTCCTTGAAAAACAGCCAACTGGCTATTAAATACAAAATAAAGCATATTGGATTGGCTAAAATAATTTGAGTTCCAATACTCCAGTAAAACCAACCGACCTAGAATTAAAAATAAGGAATTTGAAAATACATTTTAAAAAATAACTTTTGCAGGATAAATACATAGGAAGGATGTCTAAAAAAATTGTAAACTCCATTTGTGACTAGTTTATGGTCTTCTGACTGTTGAAATTGTACCTAAAATAATGAAATTAAACTTGAGTGTTCAATCAAAAGTCACACGTGACTTACTAAATGATGAAAACTTTTTTTTGCCGTTAACATTGCTGTTTTCCTTAAAACTTCACCGAAGAAGCAGATTGTTGCTCCTAAGAGCCAAATCATTTTGTATTTCTTTATTTCTGGGAAATAGTAAACTTCGACAAAGAACTCAATCCAGCTACTTACGGCTGCAATTTCATATTGAAGTGAATGATTGAGCATAAAGGAATCGATATTAAGGGATTGTGGATGTGAAATACTGATGACCAAATATTCAGAAAAATGAAAGAATGTCAGAAACGCTAAATATATCCCAAATGATTTGTAATTTTCATTCATTGTAAAAATTATGAATAATGCGATTCCAAATGTGTATCCCAATATTGCAGCTCTGATTGCAATCTAGAAATACAGTGTGAAAATATATGAGAAAACGACTATTGAATTGAGTAGATTACCTGAAAATCTGATGACTTGAAGCATATTGTTAATATTAGACATAGAACGATGAAATATAGTATAAACAAACTGTAAATTGATGAAAAAATTGACTCGTTTATTAATAGTGCTATTTTTTCGCCAAATTCTGATATCCCGAATAATTGAACTAGTAGACTTATGACAAAACTAATGACTGAAATTTTTCCTTCGTGACAAATCATCTTACATGATTGATTATTAAGTTAATTAATTTATTTCTTGACTTTATAGAGTATTTATTTTTGCCGACAAATTTTAGAACAATTTTTTAGTACAGCACTTAAAAGCGACTGCTGGCTAGAGGAATTAAAACTAAGGTATCAAATTTCTTAAAGTCTAATTAATCCACATTTCATTTATTCAAATAAGTTTTCTAATTCTGAATGTTTCCTCAAAAACCCGTTATTAAAATCCGATGCTGACATTACTTTCTTACCTATTGACAATTTAATTATTTCTACATCTAGTCCATCAATGCATCTTACAAAAAGCGTTTTTGACTTCCAACAGAATTTTATGTGGCCAGCTTTTCTATCATCATTTTGAGCACTATTTGATGCTCTGGCTATTTCTAAAAACTTCACTTGATGCTTTCTAAATTCTGTTGTTAAGTGCTTAAATGAATATAGAGCTCTATACAAGTCAAAAATCTGCATGGCAGTCATTTCGTTCCATCGTACTTTACAGAATTCATGAGTGATTTTCGGTGCATATGTAGCATTGTTATTGTCTTGTTTAAGAGGCTTTATGCTATGATGATTCTTAATACAGTCAATCAGTAATTCAGCTCCAACATTTGCCAGTTCATCATGCAATTGTGGCATAAACGTGTCACTATTAATAAGTACTTCCTTTTTTGCTAAAATATCTCCAACGTCAAATTTCTTAGGCTCAATTTTCATAACTGTTACACCGCTCATATTTTGATGATCTTTCAATGCATAAATGATAGGACTTGCACCTCTATATTTTGGAAGTAAACTCGCATGAACATTCAGCATTCCGTTTTTGAAACTATTTATTATAAATTCAGGAATTAAATGCCCAAAACTAACAACTAATCCAAAATCAAACGAATGACATATTCTATGATCCTTTTTTACATCTTCCCAACTGTGCACTATAAGCTGATTTTCATTAGCATATTGTTTTACTGGATTTCTTAAAGATTTAAGTGATGTCACAACTTCCAAACATGATATCAATTCACTGTTATTATTCCTAGATCTGAAATAAAAAAGGAATCAAAATTAAGTTTGTGACAAAGTGTGATTAAGTTCTATAATACTTACAAAAGCTTTAAAGTAGGCAACGAAAAGTTGTCAGTTCCAAAAAACAAAACTTTAAAATGTGAGGAACTGTTTCTAATTATTGGATAATTGCTGCTTATTGATATTCTTAATAAAATCCTATTGTTAAAAATGTGTTTAAAAATCATTTTAACCGATTGTTTGTAAATAAAAAGATCCAAATCATATGTTGAAGGAACTAAAGCCTTTTTAGACATATTCACACCGCGTATTTTAAGTTCAATATCTGTCTACATTTCATATCAACATCCTTTAGTGATTATACAGTTCTAGAAATAGCAATAGCATTTTAAGCTCTAAGTATATATTCAAATGTACAATTTTTGCGAATTTTGCTTTATCTTGATTATTGTTTAATGATATAATGTTTGAGTTCTTAAAAAAATTAAAATTGTAGAGTTAAAATATTCAAATGAACAATCTTAAAAGTTGAAATGTTTTCAACGGGTTTATTTTGATTTTTTTTTCGGTTGTAATTTGTTTGTTTACAAACAAAAATGAAAATGAAATTTGAAGTCATAAAAATATCACTCAATACAGATGTTTAAGCTTGCAAAATATGAAGAATAGCTTTAACATCAAATGTTTTGCTTGTTTAAACCTTAAATTTTGTGTTTATTAATTAAATTATTGAGATTTTTAAGAATTCAATTTTCAGTGTTTTGATTGCTTTAGTGTAAAATTCAAATTCATTTATTCCGTTGAACAAAAATATTTAAAAACTCGTCAATGCCTTCAAACATGACTTAAATTTGAAATTTTAACGATTGTTTAATAAAATTGAAATAAAAGCAGTTTGATGAAGGTAGTTTAAAAGAAAAAAAAAGATTGTTTATTAGGTATTTATGAAATATAATTAATTAATTATGCATTAATATATCATACTTTAAAGGAAACTTTTCGCATAGTAAATTTATCAGTAAACCTATATTTAAGATGTTTAATTTATCAGAATCAGTCGAACGACAATGTCCTTTAATTAATGTCTTCTGCGGCATCAATCCATGCATTATACACATCCACTGGTTCTGATAGAAAATTGATTGTTGTTTGAAATCTCTCAGAACATACTCGGCATGAAATCAATGCTGAATTCCTCGATTTATCCCTAAAATATTATAAATTAAGTTAATATCCTTAAGATCCAGTAATCTTGTGCAACTGATGAAAAAAATCCAATAATAAATTAAATATTCATTAGCTTACATTTTTACTTCGCAACTTCTTTCATGATTACAAAATGGGCAGTTAAACTGCTGGTCCAATGGCATGATTGCCTTTCTTTTTGGTGGTGGCTTTCTTTTTGATTTCCTTCGTCCCATTTTCTACTTTAATTCAATTTTTTTCTTTTAAATTTTTAATTTCAATCTGTTCTATTTGTTTTTAAGTTTTGTTTTTTTAAAATGTGTTGACGCCTGAATTTTAAAACAAAAATATAGCCGTTATATTTTAGAAACATGAACCGATTATGATTTAGACTAAGGATCTGTCCAAAACAATTTAAGCATAAAGAAGGTTTATAACAGGCAATTATTTATAAAGACTTTTAATTTTGACATACACAAACCTAACTTGAAGATGAACAGAACAATGAGTAAGCTTGAAAAGGATGAAAAGAAGATATCAACCCGTGTTGAAAATAGTATTTTGCGTATGCTTCAAGGTTGTTGACAAGGTCATACGTTCCTTGTATTATCAAATAAAATTGACAATGAAAAGAAACAGAGATTTTAAATGTAATAGGTATTTTTTATTGATTTTGTTCAATTAATATCCTGCTTTTACATCTATCAACATAAAAGGTGGCATGAAATTTAAACACTTATAAGATTCCTTAACTTTTGAAATTGAATAAATTATGTGATAAGTTTGAGAGGAGTACTTGAGATAATTTATTTAGCCTTTCCTTGATTGGCAACGCTTTCCATAGCTTTTCTCACAGTTTCTTCATCGCCAAGGAATTTCATTGAAACAACAGGCTTGAAGTTTTCATCGAGTTCATAAATGAATGGGATTCCAGTTGGCAAATTGAGTCCCATAATGGCCTCATCGCTCATTTCTGTATAAATTGAAGAAAAAAATGAGCTAGTTCGTTTTGACAATAAAATAATCAGACTTACCATCAAGATGCTTAACAATGCCTCTTAAACTATTTCCGTGAGCGGCAATGATGATTTTTTTGCCTTCCTTCAATTGTGGAATAATGACATCATTCCAATAAGGAAGAGTACGTTGAATGGTAAGCTTCAATGACTCAAACATTGGAAATTCTTCTTTTGATGGTCCATTGCTGTAGATTGGATCTTCAACAATAGCCTTGTAATATTTGTGTTCAGTATCCATTGGTGGTGGTGGAATATCAAAAGATCTACGCCAGATTTTGACTTGATCTTCACCGAATTTTTTGGCAGTTTCAGCTTTGTCCATTCCAGTCAATCCACCATAATGACGTTCATTTAATCTCCATGTCTTTTGAATTGGAATTCCAGTTTGTCCAGATTCAGCCAAAATTGAGTCGAGTGTTAAATTAGCTCTCTTCAAAACTGATGTATGTGCAACATCGAATTTTAATCCAGCTTCTTTTACTGCCTTTCCAGCTTCAACAGCCTCTTGACGACCCTTATCTGACAATTCGGCGTTATACCAACCTATACAAAATAATAAATAGAACGACAAAAAGTTTGGTTTAGTCAATTATCAGTGAAATCTAATCAGTGGCTGTACTAACCACAGAACAAATTAAGTTGATTCCATTCGCTCTCTCCATGTCTGACCATAACAATCTTATACTTTGCCATTTTTGATATATTTAGATGAACTGACACCTGCCAAGAAATTTCATTTAAAATCGATTCGCAAAATTATGCAATTATTTTCTTTTTCCTCAAACTTTCACAAATCCCTTAAATGCCGATTTGCATTAAATGCATTAAAATTTATGAAAACTCTTTTAGCATTCTCTAATTTAAACAATATAGAATTGAAAAAAAAATAATTAACGTACTTACTTTACGAGCGAAACTACCAATTTGCAGAATTTTCACGAATCAAGGAACAGACCTTTCTTCCTCAATTTGTTATTGAATTGACCTTAAAATGAGTGCGTTCAATAGACTCAATTAAAATCGTCTAAACCACCGCTGTCAATATTGGTCTACTCATGTAGCTTACCTCGTCACAATTTTCAAATTTAGCTCACCACGTGTTACTTTTTATTAACGGTTTTGTAAAGATTCAATGAATATCCGACATAAATTGTGTAGGAAAATACGGACATTTTATGTTCACTTTCATCTTAATAAAAAGAAGCTTGATGTCATTGATCTTGATGAGAAAGACTATTTACAAAATTAGTTGAAATTTATTTACATCCCAAGACGCTCGATTCGTACGTTCAGGAATATCAAGCTCAAGTACCACAAGTTTAAGGGAACTAAAATCTGAGCGCATTTGTAATTTTATAACGGATTTTGATATTTAAATTTAATAACAATATTGTTTGGACAAATTAAGCACCTTAAATTCTTAAAAATATATTTCTTGTTAATTTAATTAAATAAAAGGGTAATAAATGTTAAAGTGACTCGACAAAGTGAATATAAACACATCATTTTACAGTATATTTGCTAAAATAAATAAAAATATTTCATAATAAAGGAATTTGTTGAAGATAATCTTTAGAAAGAATCTTGGCTAGTTAAGGTTTAAAGAACAATTATTTAGAGATTAAAACGATATAGTGTAATTAAAGAAAGGAAGTAAACAACTGTAAGTAAAGTCAATTGAATGAAATAATAGCATTAGTAATATTTTGCGCGTAATTTTTTTGTGTAGCTTCAAACATGAATGATGACGAAAATTTTATTATCGAAAAAGTCACGACTTTACTAGATCCAAAACAAACAGGTGCTATTCCAAGAAGTACAAAAGTAAATACTCACCAAATGCCTACAAACTACTGGGATACAGTGGAAAAAATAAACAACGGATTGAGAGTTTGTGTTGTAAGTTGAAATAAATTGTTTAAAATTAAACAGAATTATATATAATGTCATTTAATTGTGTTGGTAGATTCTACGAGGATTGCCTGGTTCAGGAAAAAGCTATATAGGAAAACGATTAATTGAGGATACGATTCGAGACAATTTTGAAGAACACGTCATTTCTGCAGATGATTACTTTTTTAGAAACGGAAAGTACTCGTATGATGCATCTAAAATCTCGGAAGCTCATCAAAATGCTCAAAGACAGTTTTTCAATCGAGCAAATAAAGGATATAGTCCATTGGTTGTTGATAATACTAATTTACAATCATGGGAAATGTTTCCGTACATTCAAGCAGCAATACAATATGGTTATAGCATAGAAATAATGGAACCTGTTACTCCGTGGAAATGGACAGCACATAAATTGGCTCAGAAGAACAAACATAATGTACCGATGGATAAGATTAAGAAAATGATGGACAATTACGATAGAATTACTACAGTTAAAGAATTAGCAAAAAATCAACTAAATCTTGATATTGTTAAGGAACCAAAATTGCGAAACATTCCAAAATTTAAGCCCAAAGCTACCTTAATGCAAGTTAACAGCGAATCAGACTTAATTGATCTTTCATTTGAAGGCAACAAAAATCGTAAAAATAATAATGAGCAAGGAGAACAGCTAAGCTGGCAAAAATTCAATTCTGATTTTCAAATACCAAGTACTTCAAGCAATTATTATAATCAGCAAAAGCAAAATACAGAACAATCGGAATCGAATGTGTGGAAACCACCTCCGCAAATTTTTAATGATAATTGGGATCAACCGAATGAAAAGGAAATTACTATAAGGGAGAAGGAAAAACATGGTATAAGAGAAGATACAAACAAGCCACAGCCTCAGAGAAATCAAAGAAAGAATAAAAATTCTTCAACGCCTTCATCCGAATCAGATTTAAAGCCACATAAAAAAAATTGTCCAAAAGAAAATCAAGCATTTGTTCAGCTTCGTGAATTATATCCGAATATTAAGGATAGCAGTCTGTGGCATTTTTTTGAAAAGTGTAAAGGAGATCATGAATGGTGTGCAGACATGCTTTGTGATGAAAATTTAACTGATCAAATGGATACTGGAGACGATTTGACATGCAGTTGTTCTGGCAGCGATAGTGATTCTTCAATTCCTAAAAAAGTCGTAGAAAATTATAGTAATAACAAAAAGCAGACACCTGTTAAAGCTAAAAAAGTGAAATCAAATACCGATGAATTATTCGCATTTAAAATTGCAATTGAAGATAATGTCAAAATTGGAAACGAGTTTTATCCAGAGCATGTTCAAAAAGTTAAAGGGTGGAAGGGGATATCAACGAATGCACCTCAAACAGTAAATGAAACAAATGTTGTCGAGCAAAATGTTGAAGAAGAGACTTTAGTTCCGTTGTCTATTGAAGAGAGTTTGATAACAGAACTAGCTGAGATATATGGTGACAGTCAATCAGTCGTGAAAGATATTTTAGAGCAACATAGAAAATATAAAACAAAAATTTTCATCAAATCGTCAACTGCAAAACAGCTCTATAACGAGATTTTAGAGACAGTTTATAGTCATCAAGAGGAAGCGAAATTAAAAGATATTGAAAATGATCGTTATTTTGCAATGATGTTGCACGAACAAGAAAAAGCTTACAAATATCCTCAATTGGTACAAGAAACAAATGGTAATAGTTTTAAAGAGATTATGGATACGCAAGCTGCTCTTAAAGAATATCACAATGATGTCGGTGAATGGCAAAAAGTAGAAAAACCTGATACAATGGCTGAAAAATTAAGCAAGGAGAAACTATATCGATTATTTTCGAGCATTGAAAAGAGTATAATTGATGAGATTTTTGAGGCACAAGGCAGACATTTTAAAAAGACAATAGTATTAATTCAAGACAGTTTAGGATATACACAGGAACAACGGAAGCAAGTCAAGGAGGAGATAGAAAAGAGTGCTAAATTTAGTAAGGAAGTAGTTGAGGATGAAAAAGAAGACGAATTTACTCCAGAAGAATATGCTTGCATAAAGAAAGTTGAAGAGCTACAGGAAGAAATTGATCGACATTCAGAAGCGTATTTGCGTTGTGTACAACAATCACGAGATCACATATCAAAAAAGGAATATCATACGGCTTCTTATTACACAAGTATGGTCAATTTACATAAACAGTTGTGTGATGAAAAGCGCCAAGAACTAATGAACCTTCTGTCATTTAGTTTCTTAAATAATTCTGCGAGCTCAAGACTAGATTTACATTATTTAACACAAGAAGGAGCAAAGACTCGATTGCACACATTTTTGGATGCGCACATAGCAAAGTTGAGAGAAATTAAAAAGCAATTTATAGAGCTAGAAATAATCACCGGACGAGGCAATCATTCTATAAATGGTCCTGTAATTAAAAATATGACAATTAGGCTGTTCCAAGATCGAAACTTACGGTAATTTTTGTCTAATCAAACTTCAAAAATACTTTTAATAATTTCTTTTACTATTCATTTCATTTTAGATTTATTGAAGGCAATCCCGGTATGTTGAAAGTCAAAGTCTATTCAAATTCAATGCTTTACGATGAAAAGCAAAGATTAATGAAAAGTGAGAACTAGAGTCATTAAGCCGTTACTAGCTTTAAGATTTTTAATGTTGCAAACATATTTTGAAGACTATGCTCAATTATATCCTTAAAAGTGCAAATCAATCAAAGACAACAGTCATTTTTCATGCCATTTTTTCTACTTAATTAAATTCACTAATATTTATGTAAATTTCATGTAAGTACAAAGTTTGGTTGCATTTTTCAGCTAGATTTTACATGAAAAGAAACATAAATATTGGAGCCTACCAACCTAGTTAATACATAAACTGAAATATTACCATTTAATACTTTAGAGAGAGAGAAATAAAATATTTTTGATATTTGTTATCAATGTCTTTTTATCAGAATCAATAAAATCAAATCTGGTGATATATAAACGATAACTTATTTAATGTTTTAAGATTGCCGCTTCTTATATAAAGCAGTATCGAATTATCATGTATTATCATATATTTTCTATCAATCATGAAGTTTACATTGGTTTTCATTGGAATCTTAACTTTTATTGCGGTTAAATCAAACTGTGCAACGAAAGAATATGATTTTGGGTTTTTTAAAGGAGTTGTGGAAAGTCGAATTGAAACTGATAGTAATGATGAAATGTCATTAAAAGCTGAACAGGCAATTAGAAGAGTTGTAGAAAAACATTTGGGAAATAAGAAGAAAAATAGAGCCCAAAAGTTCGAAACAAAACGTGAGGTCCAAGAAATAAAAGCAACTAAAGAAAATAAAGATGCCTCCGTCCAAAAGTCGCAGGAAGTCCCTAATTCTATTAATTGGGATGAACATCAAGAAACAAGAGATTTAATTAACAAGAAAGTGACTGGTGGAACTCAAGCAATCAACGATTTAATTGGTTTACTAAAGGAACGAGAGGAACAAAATGACAAGGCAACAAATTGATTCGTAGTGTATATTTTTAATATTTATAACTTGCATAATCAAGAGTTAACAGGCCTTCAATAAATAAATTGTAGACAATGTTTATGTCGGCTTCCAGTCTGGATCATCAGATTCGTCACCAGAAGGCAAATCTTCTTCCAGATCCATATTTTGGAATAGACCTGAAAAGGATTATTGTAATGTAATAATAAAAATCAAGAAAGCAAGTTAAGAAAAACGTAATAAAAATGACAATTCAACAACACATAAAATAAAGAACTTACTTTCATCGATTTTAACGTTTTCTATTGAATCACCATTTTCAGTAAGGAAGCGAATATCGGAATCAAGGAGTGATTGATCTTTTAAGAATAGCTCTCGTCCAGTAAGTTTTCTATTTGCTTCATTTTCTTTAGCTCGCTTTTCAGCAATTCCCATTTCAGCCTCGAATAAATTTCTCCAGTTCATAAAGCTCTCCACTAAGATTCAAAATGTTATGACTTATGCTTTTACTTTTCAAACGATTATTTTTTAATAAAAACATACCTGATACAATTGTACCTTCAAACTTTTTCTGTTCTATTTCCTCGATTTCTCGCTGTTTTTTTTCGCGTTGTTCCTCCCGTTCAATTTTAATCTGATCAAATAAGGAATTCAATAATTCCTGTGTACATCCTACGACACTAAAGATCATCTCAGTACCTAAATTCTCGGTGATGCACGAATTAATTGCATCCTCAACTTTCTGCTTAATATTAGATTCAAAATTGATTTCTTCTTCTATTTCGACAATTGGCTTATCGTCTGGATATTTAGGCGTATAAGTAAATACAAGATTGCAGCATAAACCATCCTGTTCTTCTCGAAATCCCTCTGTATAAACATTTATTTTGAATTTATTTCTTTTTTCTTCGTCCAATACTAAAATTGTAAATATTGTTAAATTAACAAGAAAATAATTCTAAATTGTTTATATTAAGTACTTACTTTCGAGTTCTTCGAAATATATAGACTCGAGTGCTTCAAGCTCATTTTTCTGATCCTCTTCATAATCTCTAGACATTATTTAACTTACTTTTTACTTCAAAAAACAAATCTTCAGATAATACAAAATAAAGTAGCTACTTTGAGGTTATTTTAATTTTAAAGTAAATTTTCAAATTTCAAAAAACCGTTTATTGAGGTAATGAAATGTATGATTTTATTAAATGCTCAACATACTGTACTAATGACTTAAACATAATTTAATCACTGATTTGAGAAGAATATAACATCATCAGCAATAATGCTTGTACTCATTCGAGTCTTTCCTTCTTGATCTGTTATTTCTCCATAACTGATTTTTCCAGTAACCAAACATCGTTGTCCCTTTTTAAGGAAATTTTGAAGTGATTCTCCTAGTTGTGGCTTAAACACAACTATTCTATGCCAATCAGTTCTTTGAATCCAATCACCGCTTTCATATTTGTAATTATTGTGAGTTGCTAATGAGAATGTTACTACTGGATGTTGATCAGTGCCTCTTTTTAATGGATCTGCACCGACTCGACCTAACAATGTCACTGAATTTACAGCTAAAATAATTAAATTTCATAAAAGGTTAATGTCAAAAAACAAAAATTTTTTTGAAATACTTTTTTCGATTCTAGGAACTTCACTGGAAAATGCTCTCAATCCTAAAGCTCTAGCAAAAAATAACTGAAATATAATATAATTAAATCAATGGATAACTCAGTTAATATAATTGATAAATTCTTACTCGATTCATGTTTTGTGTTTTTGTTTACCGCTCATTTATTTTAACTTCCACGTGTAAGTTGTTGGCTTTGGTTTTTTGACGTTTTTCTCTATTTTTTAAAAAATTAAGCCTATGACACTAGGCAATACATTTTGTATTATAGAGAACGTTGGATTCCCCATCAAAATGCACATAAATTTACTAGTCCAGTTTCAGCATGTAGGCACTGAAACCAGAAAAAAAAAAGTCAAAAGTTATCAAATACAACTTCAAAAGTTTAAAATCGAAAATATCCGAAACATGAAAAGTTTAAACTTCAAAACTTGAAAAGTTAACATTTCAAAAAATGAAATACGAAAAATTCGAATCCCAAAAATTGAAACACGAAAAATTCGAGTTCAAAAAATTGAAATACGAAAAATTCGAATTCAAAAAATTGAAGCACGAAAAATTCGAATTCAAAAAATTGAAATACGAAAAATTCGAATTCCAAAAGTTGAAACACGAAAAATTTGAGTTCAAAAATTGAAACACGAAAAAGTCGAGTTCAAAAATTGAAGCACGAAAAATTCGAATTCAAAAAATTGAAATACGAAAAATTCGAATTCCAAAAATTGAAACACGAAAAATTCGAGTTCAAAAATTTGAAACACGAAAATTTCGAGTTCCAAATATTAAAACACGAAAAATTCGGATTCAAAAAAGTTGAAACTCTGAAACTCCAAAATTTCCAATTCAATTCACAACTTCTGTTTGTCAGCCTCTTTTCTACCGAAATAGAAAAGATCACAGGACTCACCTCGCGAAGGTCAACAGAACGAGTCCCTGGTTAATGATCAATTTTTGGTCGAATTCCTCAGTGATACGCTCCTTCTTAAATCAAACAACTTTCGTTAGACGACTTAGTTGCAACTTACAGGATAGCATAGTTTTACCAACTATGACAAAAACTGTAAGTTAAACACATCACCGGGTTACATTAAATGCCATGATGCATCTATCATTAAGGGTGTGCGACCCATCTGGAAGCGCCTCTATAAAGATCAATACCGCATTGAGTCAACGAATTTCAGTACCACTGGCCTTTACGTCCCCTCCAAACCAACAAGAACAAGCTGTAACACCGTAAGGCATGGCTTGGAGTCATGAATAGAGAGCTCACGTTCAGGATTTATTGGGCAAAGATCTTGTTATGACTCTCAACGGCCCGGAAGTATTTGTTGTGAAAGAATTGGAAAAATTCACGAAATACAAAGTAAAGTAAGAGCTGAAAAAGAAATGAATTAATAAACAGGATAATACGGACGGACGAATTGACAGTAATGTTTTTTTTGGACAGCCCACCCTCAACCCCCTCTTGTAATTCCTAAAAAGTTCAAAGCCCTTTTTATAGAGGATAAGCCTCGTTCGATAAAAATTATATAAAAAACTCGAACGCGCCATTGAAATTAATTCATGTCCAGTTTATAAAAAGAAAAATCCCCTTACGTTAACAAAACTTTCAATCAACCCTCTCCCAATCACGCAAACCAAAGTAAAGTAAGAGCTGAAAAAGAAATGGATTAATAAACAGGATAATACGGACGGACGAATTGACAGTAATGTTTTTTTTGGACAGCCCACCCTCAACCCCCTCTTGTAATTCCTAAAAAGTTCAAAGCCCTTTTTATAGAGGATAAGCCTCGTTCGATAAAAATTATATAAAAAACTCGAACGCGCCATTGAAATTCATTCATGTCCATATTATTAAAAAGAAAAATCCCCTTACGTTAACAAAACTACCAATCACCCCTACCCCTCACCCAATCACCCAAACCCTTTCTTTGGCGTCAATGGGGCGCAACTCCCATATAGATTTGATTATGCTCTTCTCGCCTACCCAAACCCTTAACCCTCGCACCACAATTTCAACCCCTACCCCCTCACCCAATCACCCAAACCCTTCTCTTGGCGTCAATGGGGCGCAACTCCCATATAGATTTGATAATGCTCTTCTCGCCTACCCAACCCCTACCCCCTCACCCAATCACCCAAACCCTTCCCTTGGCGTCAATGGGGCGCAACTCCCATATAGATTTGATAATGCTCTTCTCGCCTACCCAACCCCTACCCCCTCACACCCTTAACCCCTAATCTACTTTCACTCACGTTCTAACGTTGAAGCTCTTCGGCTTCGTGCTCCTCAGGTTTGCTCGCACAACAGAACATTCGTTTAAGAGTCTTCCAAAAACTCCTGCGCTTTTTTTTGGGCTTCTCTTCCAGATTGGATCGGCTCGATGGTCCATCAACAGCTGATGGCACAGAAAACGTCATGTCCGATGCAATCGTAAGAGGTTCATAATCCTAAAATAAATGAAAAAGATTTATTAATATTAATAGTCAGAACTCCAGCTAGTTGAATTTGAATTCACTAGAGTCATGTGATGAATTTTTTACTTACAGCGAAATGGGAACTGATTTGTGATGAAACAAATCCTTGGAGTGCCGATGCTAGTACGGGATGGTGAAACAAGCAGATCCCGACTTCTCTCATGAGCATGATGTCATGGAAGTGATTGATCCACACAATCAACAACTCCTCTAGACCCTCCAAGACTTCCAAAGACGCTCCCTTGAACCATTGCATCAAGCACAAAATAAGAGGAACCAGCTCTTCTTGATCTTGCTGAAGCTCTTCGATTTCTTGCGAAATCGCATACTTCATGAGCAAGAGCTTCAGCTCACGATGCTTATTCAACATGTTGGACGTCGAAATTTGCATTCGTCTATTCTCCACATCGTACAGTCGAACAAACTTCCTCATTTGCCTCTTTACTGTTGAACCTGCATGAGATGCATAATCCAACAGCTTAAGAGGCAAATCTCTTGAAGGTTCTTCAACCGCACAATGAAAATCCTTGGAGAGGAATCGTCCGACGAACAGCAACTCGTAAGCCAATGGCTGGTAGTCGCTATAAAATTTCTGGTCCAACAAATTTTGATAGCCTTCATCCAACTCTTGATCCAATCCATCTTGCCATCCACCTTTCAATTCATCTTGCCATCCACCTTCCAATTCCTCAGGAATTGGAGCAGAAATGATTGGCGAAGAGTGTCTATCCAGGAGATGTGGATCCTCGAGCTCATAATCTGGATTGAGAGCTGGCATACTGTTGATGAACTGGTTCATTTCCTGGAAAAAAAAATTTGTTAAATTTTTCAAAATTTAAAGGTAAGGATTTAAATCATCATCAAAATGATTTGAAAAATGATTTTTCATTTAAATCATTTTACACAAGTGATTTATTTTTGATTTATGATTTAAATCATTTTGTATGAAAGATTTATTTGTGATTTATGATTTAAATCACATTGTAAGGGCATTTTTTTTTTTGGATTTTAAATCACTTGAAGGTGAAAATTTGTTTTGGAATTTTCAGAAGATTAATTAAAAACATTAATCATTAATCATGGATATCCTTTCTGGCTTTTGGATATTGTAGTATGCAGATGTTGGTATAGCTCTAAATGATAAAGCATGAATGGATCTAGCATAATATGAGGAACTAGTCAATTCCAGTCGCTTTAAAGCATTTTTTGATAAGTTTTCATTGTCAAAGAGGTATACGTTTGTATTTCTTAGCCAGAGGTATGATTAGACACTGGAACTGCTCAGTTCCTTTACATCCCAAAAAAAAGTTTTTTGTTTCTTCTTAATCAAGGAATCACATCCTGGAATAAAAAATTTTTTTGAGGAACCGACCGGTTCCTTTAGTGCCTGAAGACTAAAAATGTCAAATATTAAGTCATTAAAGAATTAAGCACTTTTTTTGAGCATTTTCAGTCTTCAGGCACTAAAGGAACCGGTCGGTTCCTCAAAAAAATTTTTTGTTCCAGGATGTGATTCCTTGATTAAGAAGAAACAAAAAACTTTTTTTTGGGATGTAAAGGAACTGAGCAGTTCCAGTGTCTAATCATACCTCTGGCTAAGAAATACAAACGTATACCTCTTTGACAATGAAAACTTATCAAAAAATGCTTTAAAGCGACTGGAATTGACTAGTTCCTCATATTATGCTAGATCCATTCATGCTTTATCATTTAGAGCTATACCAACATCTGCATACTACAATATCCAAAAGCCAGAAAGGATATCCATGATTAATGATTAATGTTTTTAATTAATCTTCTGAAAATTCCCAAACAAATTTTCACCTTCAAGTGATTTAAAATCCCAAAAAGAATCCCCATACAATTTGATTTAAATCATATAAAATTAATGCTTACCTCTTCCTCAACTTGAGGCTCCACATTTTCGCTATCGATGATTGAACCTCTGCTCCCATTTCGCTGTTCTTCTTCCTCCAAAATTTGATTCATCCTTTGAATCAACTCCTTGATGTCCTCCGTTGTCAAATCAAACGATCTTGTTGCTTCCATTGTTTACACAAAACTGAAAAAAATTCAGAATTGAATTTCAAAGGTTGCTGGATTTATTTTTTTTCTCATTTAATTCTTTTGCATAATTAAGAAATTAAGAAAAAAATGATATTTTTGGACGTCCAATTTAACTTAAAGTCGTTAAATCTGATGCAGCAACATAAACAGTAAACAAATTTGAACTTAAAGGTGTTAAGGAATATGTAAAAGGTCCCATTCATAAAATCAAATATATTTGTTTACAATCAAGAAATTAAATTATTTAAAGAGGATCGTTATGGAAGAAGTCAACCACTAGATTGAAGACAAAAGAAGAACTAAGGAAAGGATAAGGTATATTAGATAAAGTCCATATAAGGAATTTCAAAAAAATTTAAACTGAAAAAAAATCCATAAATTGTAGGTCCGAGAATTAAGATATCTGAAGAAAAATTTTAAAAAAGAAGCAGATGATGCATCATCGCAAAAAGCTAAGTTTATTCACATTAATAGAAGAATTAAAAGGAAGCCTAGAAAAGTCAATCTCGTACTCGACGTCATTTAGTAATTTAATTAACTTTCATTTACATACTGTTCAAAGAGTTTATGGAACAACGCTTTGAGGGGGATATGGATTAGACCTTGAACGATTCTTGTGCTGGCTGTTGAACCGCTATTATATTGAAGAAGTCTGCTTATATCCTAGATTCCTTCAGAGATTTACTCATTAAACATGTACGCATTTATAGTGTCAACAGTATTTCTGAAAAGCATTTTTTTCATCTTCAAGATTTTTTGCTTAAAATGAAATTTAAGATTATTATAAAAACAGGAATAACGTTTTCAAATTATTTGCTTTTTGCGATTCAGCATAACTTGTTCATAATAAGACCTGACTATTACGACATTTCCACATTCAATGCACACATTTTTAGATTGCCATCCTCAAAAACGTGATACTTCGAGTGATTAGAATTTATAAGCAGTTTGGAAATATCTTTCATCACATACTTGTACCGCAATCTATGAAAAAGGCGTGGAAGTTCAAACGCGAGCAAAGTCGTGGAAACTATTTAAAATAATTCCTGAGAATGCTTGCACGATAATAAAGTAATCCCAACGAATCTTTAGTGTATTCGACATATAATTTCGGATTCAATTTTAATTCCTTGATTTTAATACTGAAAACTATTTGATGGAAAAAAATTATTATTTTATTTAAAAATTTTTTAGACTAGGATGGATATAAACTCAAGTTATTGGGTTAAAGAATATCAATGAAAAAACTAGTTTATTTTAATGAATTAAGTTTAAACACTTTGTGCAGCTAGTTCCGATATTTTAGCACCATGAACTGGCTCTAAGTCGTCCAAGTCAACATCAGAATCAACATCATCATTTGTTGTGACTGGCTCATCACTGTATTCCTCTTTTTTATTGGAAAACTCTTGTTGCTGTTCCTCTTTTGGAGTTTCTCTCGGATAATCTAATTTAACCCATTGTCCGCCTTGAACTTTTGGCATAGTAATCTCAATTTTAGTGCCAAACATTTTTGCTGATGATTTCTCTAGATCCACAACTCCTCGAAGCTCTATGTCCATATTAAACTCAGCATTGTTTTCTAAAGGAAATACGAGTTTAACAATCAAACGAATCGGATTAAGTTTCACAAAGCTCTTCTTATAATCATAATTTTTAGCATAGACTGCAACAACTACATTCGTAGCCGTTTGATGCCAATCCCATCGGCAATTAACATTATTGATATTAGTATCTTTTATCCATTTGTGCTTTCCAGTTTCACAACCAGCTTGATCAAGAAATGCTTGAAAATCACTCGTTTTCTTTTGACAGCAAGTCCAAAACTTGTATCCCTCATGAAATATTGGAAATCCAGGATGATAAACACATGAATCATCATTAGACGATAGTGATAAATAGGATGCTTTACATCCAGAATTTTTACAAGTTGTTCCGATCGCAATACATCCATCGATTGATGATGCTTCCATTTTTTTGGTCAGATCTAGTTGATCCATTTGTTTTTTAAACGATGGATTTATAAAAGGTTCTAAAGTAGTACATGGTGCCTCAAATGAAGGCCTCTGGATTGTCTCAACAGTTTTATTTTTATCTTGTTGCTTGATTTGCTCTTCAATCTCATCGTCAGTCAATTGTTTGGGCTTTTCTGGATCCGCTGGTTTTTCATTTGAATGTTTTCCTTGCGTACAGCCCTTAAAATTCAAAAATTCCGTAAAATCAGTACTCTTCTTATTGCAGCATGACCATCCTTTATATGCATCATGAAAAACTGGATGTCCAGGATGAAATTGGCATTTTTCTAAAACAAAATTAACTTAATAAAAAGTTGTTCTAGAAAAATCTCAAAAAAATTCCTTATTCTTACCTTCGTCATTCTCGTTGGGATTGTATTTCTGGCCACATCCTTTATTATAACATGTAATTAGATCCTCCATAGTCATATTTTTCTTATGAATTTAATTCAAAAGACTGTTATTTGATATTATAATTAATATATTCAATTTTTTAAATGTGACAAAAATTGCTAAATTGAGGGTGGGTTCAAAAATGACATCCACAAAAGTTAACAGTTAAATACTTGCCCCACTGTAAACATCATTTGTTAATAACCCCAATGATTCAGTACTTTTTTCGCGTAACCTGAAAATTCAAAAATATAATCTGAAAAGCCGTTAAAAAGAGCACTCACGTTTTCATTTAAAATTGAATTTATTTAAAATTTCCGTTTAATATAGGTATAAGAATTTTTTTTTATCTTTTTCTTTCATCATCTAAAGTACATAAAGTTTGAAAACTAATATTTTCTTCGCAATGGACTAGCATCAATTTGAATTAAGTTATTCTTATATAAAGTATTTTTGCAATAAACTTTTTTTGAGTCCTTCATTCATCATCAAAAATTGTTTGCTTTACTCCATGCACAATGTTTCAGAACCTACAATCGCTATATTTATAGCACATTTTTAACTTGCACTAATTAATTGCATGGAAAATAGATTTATTAATTATATTTTACTTATCAACTCTTACATTTTGTTGCTTTCATTTGTTCGATCGAATTGATTCATTCTGATCATATTTTATTATAATATTATCTTTTTGTCATCATTTTTCTTTTTATTCCTAATTTTATTAATTTAATATTAATAAATTTTTTCATAAAGACTAATTTTGTCATATAACACAGCCTTCACAACCTGAGTATTCTCCTCATTTTTTTTTTTTTTCATTATAAATCTCGTTGTAAAAATAATCTTAAAAAAATTAATACCAAAAATAAAACAATAAGAATTGCTTCAAATATAAATCACAAAATTAGAATTAACTGCCAACCATTATGTGAGTTCCCAATTGATCGCTTGCTGTAGGAGATACAGAACTTACAGGGGTTGCCATTAATTGATCAGACTTGACAAAATCATCCATTTGATTGAGGGCGGATGAGAGTTTATAGCAATTTAGTTCATAATAATCAGAATTACTCGATGAGTCAGTTTCGAGGTATGGAAAATCCCAATTGGAATTTGAGACACTCTGACTAACGGATATCGATGATGCTGTAAGGGATTCGAGAGAACATGAACTGACTGTAGTGAGAGTGGTAATTAGTGTTGAAGAAATAGGACCAGTTGTCGAACTAGGAACGGTAGAAGTGATGCTACCATTATTGCTCAATAATGTTGAGGAATTGTTACTATTACTATTTGAAATAGTTACTTGTAAGTTTGTTATTGTATTAGATGTTTGACTTGACGTTTGTGTTAGAGACGTTGGTGTTGTGGATGTGAAAATGTCATTATTGCTTAATGGATCAAGTGCAGATTGAGATGAGAGACTCAATACAGAACCCCAATCAATTGAACGTGTGCTACTACTATCGACATCATCAACATCCCCAAATGCAGAGTCAGCATCATTTGTACTATTTGATGCCAATTGTGAGATTACTGGCGATGGTAATGGAAACGGTGTAGCACGTCCTGAAGATGGGTCTTTTAGAGGATGATGCTCATAAATTGGCATCGGATCATTAAATGATGGGATTCGATTAATTATGCAATTATTTATGTATGGTTGTGAAAAACTGGCGTTACATGTACTTAAATTATTATTATTATTAGAATTAGTATTACAATTTATCATACTGCTTTCATTGTTAAGATTAGTATTGTTATTACTATTAGTTTGTTGCTGCTGCTGTTGCTTATTAGATTCTGGTAATAAGTTTTGTTGTTGCCTAGACGGTGGAAATGACTGCAAAAACTCAATACTTGATTGATTCTGCTGAAGTGCATGTCGATGCTGAGACATTCGTTGGTGATAAATTTGATTCTCTATCTCTATCTCTTTTTCTAATGATTTTAATGTGTTACATATTAATACTGATCGATATAGGGATTGATCAGATGCCTGTCTAAATCTCGCTAATTTGAACATTGAGAGGTTCATCATTTTCAATCGTTTCTCCTTATAACATTGCTTTGTTGTGCACCATAAATTATTCCTTCCCTCACAACAATTCTTCATCATACCAATTCCATTATTTGCAATACACAGTCGATTAGGACCACAGTAATTTGAACTTCCCAGTTCGAAATATGATTTTCCATTTTCAGCACAACGAATCGTTTGTGTCTGTTGTTGCTGCTGCTGCTGTTGTTGTTGTTGTTGTTGATGTTGTTGATGTGTGATAGGATCATAATGCTGATGTTGATTGTAATAGTTCCAACTTGAACCATTATTGGTGCCATGAAAAAATGATGGCCTTAAATGCGGTTGTTGGTGTTGTAAATGATTGTATTGTACTACTGTCGTTGGTGTACGAGAACAATTTTGATAATTTTCAGGTGTGTAGCCCGGTTTCGGATATGCAGGAATATAATTTTGTCTTAATGGCGATGGGGGTGGATAACGAATCGCTGGACTTTGATTTGATAAAATTGTTTGATCTTCTAGTAATAAATCGTCATCCTCATCGTCATCGAAATCAAAATCATCCTGAAAATCATCTTCGTCATCGTCCAATAGATCGTCATCTAGAAGTGTTGTAGCTAGCGTTGAGCGGGTTATATTTTCAGCCGTTTGTGCTAGTGATGTTAGCGTACTCGATGTACAATTGAATGGAATTGTTGAAAGTGTACTATTACTCCATGTTTCTGTTACTGCTTGTAATTTACTTATACTATCTACAATAGGCTCATTAGGCCACGGATGATTCTCAAGTGGTATAATGTCTGACTTTATTGATTTAACAACTATCGTTCCATTGCTATTATTAACTCCATTATTTCTATTATTTATGATTGGTGATAGAACCTTTGTCGTTAGATCTGAAAATTTAATGCTTTTTGGTGGTGAAGCTTCCTTCTTCTCTGCTTCACAATCCGTCTCGATCTCATATTTTCGTTTTGTTGTCGTTTTTATTGTTGCTTGAAGACCCATCATTTCATATAACATTAGTCGTTTTGTCTTAATTTTCCTTCTGTCGTCTTTATGCAGGAATTTTTTTCTTCCTTTTATCACTTCTCTTTCGTCTTGATCCTAAAAGAAATTTTTGATGTACATAATGCGTGGATGGATGGATGTTAATAATGATGAGCGTGGAGCAAAGAGAAAAAGAGAAAAGAAAATAATCATTAGAAAATAGAAAATACAATAATATCATCATCCTTTATGCTATCCATACATCCTCAATTCATGAGTACAAGTATCACAAAAATGTATATATAGCATAAGTAAGTTAAAGAGTAAAACCCTCCTGTCCATGAGTTAACAACAAAGAAAACAGTTTCATAACCTGAATATATTATAGCGCACATAGCTTCGTGTATGGGAATGAGACTTTCATTTCTCGGTGTTATTTTTTTTTTTTGAATCGACAATCGAGAAAATAATGAAAAAAAAAAGAAATGTAGAAGAAAACAGAAAGAAAGAGAAAGGGAGATAGAGAACGATTGGAAGAAAGAAAGAAGGCAAGTTAATGTACTAATGCACTCTTTTTCTTTATTGTTTTCTGTTTGATGTTAATTCATTCATTCATTCATTCACTCGTTTTTCCTCTCCTTATCCTGATTCATTCTTGAAAAGCTTTAAATGAACGCCAAAGCTCAATGATTTTTCTTTGATTCCCTATTTCATCATTTTTTTTTAATTCTTCATTTTCATGTTTTGCAGCTGTGTAAATTATAATCATGATTTTTCATACTCATGATTCAGTTTTCTTTCCTCTTTGTTGCGTTTCTCATAACTTTTTGTTATTTTTTTATTTTGTCGATTTTGTCTTGAATTTTTTTCTTCTCTTCTCTGTTAACTTTTTTTTCTTGCTTCAAAACTAAAACCTGTTTATGAAGGCCGCAATGTTTTGAAAAAATATTTTTTCCTCTCTTTGGCTTTTTACATTCTACGTTTTCTTTCATACCATGACTCAAACTATACATACTTTCAATATATCTTTGAATTTTAGGCTGTTTTGTAAGACTCGAAATGTTATGGTCAAAAAAAAGAAGGAACGTAACGATATTTTTGAAACGTCTCATGATCCCGCCATACCCACTTGAACTTTTATCAATTAATTTATTTTAGCATTTAAATTGTTTGATTAGAATTGTGTGACACCTCATGTTCATTTATTAGATGAGTCATAGAATTTGTAACGACTTTGCTGAATTGTGCTGAATTAACAATATTTCTTGTAAATTCAAATTAATTTCCGTTTAAAATATCTAACACGTGATTAAGCTATTGCAAAATAGAAACTCGTACAATGCAATCGTTCTTGATGAACTTCAAGCAATGTATGCGCACAGTTCTCTGATATATGAAAAAGCTTCGAAAAATAAATTAAAACTCTAAGACATTTAAAAAAATATTCAAGCTTTTTATCCGTTTGATCAAATGCGAGTGAATGGTATCAAAATGTACAGCATGAGTTCAAATAACAACGCACATTATCTATATCCTCCGCTGACTCTTATATGGACATCAAATGAACACTGTAGTACTATGGAAAATTCTTCTAGTTTTTCATTTTCTCAATATTCACGACGCCAGCTAGATATTTTCATTCGAATCTTATTTCTTCTTATTTTCTCATTTCTGTATATATAATTTACTTCATTTATTATGTTTGTAATGTAGCTATAGGAATTGCTTTTCAAGCAAATCTGTGTAATTGTGGTCGATGTGAAATCTAGCTAGTAAAACATTAAATTCAAGCTTCCTTTTTCTTCTTAATTTCAAAAAAATAAATGAAATGAATGGGGAATGTGTCAAAGTTTTAATCGCAAGCACCGATCGTCATTGATGTAATGGAGCAAAGAAAAAAAAAGAAAAAAGATCGTTAAAAAATTTGAATGAAAAATATCTGTGAAGTAGATTTTCAGTTATATTGTACATTAAAGTATTACTACAAGAAGAGCAAAACCATCAACACAGAAAGTGCTTGGTGAATTTGCGCAAACTCATGCTCCCTACATTCTCGATAAGAATGGGAAGAAAGACTGTATGTTGAATAAGGACTATGAGGAGAAAACGAAATGTTGATAATTTTCTTTTCTTTCTGGCTCATTTTTTTTTTCTTTTTTTTTTGTTACTTCTATGGAAACGGAAATTTACAATGAGAATATCTGAGAATATCGATTCAAATAAAACTTGTGACGGCTTTCAAAGCTATGCTATGTACGAATATATACATGAATAAACCGAGGTATATGTGTGGGAAAAGTTTTGCAGCTCTTTACCATGAATCGTCATGCAGGTCTGAAGGAACGTCGAAAAATAATATTAAAGTCTAAAGTCGTTAACATTTTGTTTTTCTTTCGTTCCAAAGACATTTGAGTGGAGTTGAGATGATTTTCTTCTCTATATGATACGGACAATTTTTTTTTTTTGTTATGTCTCATTATGACTCAACGTAACCGTTAGATTTTCCTTCAATTCTTTCTGCGTAGTTATCTTTTGAGCTACTTATGAAAGGCTTATCATCATAATTTTTTTTTTCAGTTGTACTTTATTGATAACAGTTTTCTCTAGAAAATGCTATCGATATAGACAAAATCATAATTGAGTCAGCACACACCAACTGATATCGATCGTTAAAATTTTTTTTTCAAAATTTTTGTATTGTTTTTTCATTTCATAACGCATGTTTCATGAAAAAGACACACTAAGCAGTTAGAGTAGAGTAAAGTGGCATGAAGTTAAAAAAGAAGCAAATGCAATACTTATAAAAAATACAGAAATAATACGAAAAGTCTATGAAAGCCTTCAATAAACATTTTGTGCAATCTCAAACCGACAAAATTTTTTGAAAATCATCTACACCAGCGTTTATAGCGATCTCTATAAAAATTGTTCGTATTTCTTTTTCTTATGTTCATTTAAAATTATTTTTCTCCTTCAACCACGTTTTCTCAATTTTAAGCGGCAAATAGCAGCAAAAGTGAAGCATTGGACTTAGAGAGAAAAGCAAATGCCAGTGGCAAATCAACGACGACGACATAAGGGCATTGGCTTAAAGGTTTTTCTCTCATACTATACATTTATTATTATTTTTTTTCCTCTACTCTATCTTCATCATCAATATATATAGAACGTCCCTGTTTTTTTAATAAAGAAAATGCTTTTTGAACGAATGGGATTTTTTTGTCTATGATATCACATCGAACTGTGCATGAATAAAAGTTGATATTCCGACATCTGATACACACTGTTCGTACAAACCCAGAGTGTATTCACTCTGCGCATAACATAAAACTTTATTTCAGCAAAATGAATATCTCTCTGTTCAGTTGTTCGACTTTAATGTGTATGTTCAAACGATTCGATTTTATAAAACATTTTTGTACGTAACATATTTCTCTCCCCGCAAAAATATATAGAAAGCGCTTTTAGTAGAAGGAAAAAAAAAATATAAAATAAAATTGTACAATTCACATCCACATTCATTGAACCAGCATTTTTCGTTCGTTCGTGTGTCTCTATATACTCGTTATACCAAATGGAAAAAACCAAATTGTTCGTTCATACAACAACATAGCGCAAGCACACGAAGCGAATGTCGAGAAACGAGAAATGAGCTTCTATACTAAAGATTATAGCCATTTCATGTTCGTGAGTTGTTTCGTGCTCTAAAGGTTTATATGAGATCGGCTTTTATGGCCACATTCCTCGGCTTCATACATTTATGGTATTTATTATTTAGAGAACAGACGCAAGCAAGCGAAAATCCAAGGGAACATATACAACAGTATACGCTATATGTTTGAAAAGACACAAAATTCACCAACACAACTACAATGCCTTGGTATATTACTATAAAATCGTCATCTCTTATAAAATATCTCGTATATTCATTCTTTTTTCTTCTTTCTTCTTTTCGACTTCGTATACCCTGAACTGAAATTATCTTTATACATTTTTTTTTCCTCTCCTCTTTTTTTTTTCTACAAAATAACGTTGAGTTGAAGTAAAGCAGAATATTATTTTTTTTCCTTTTTCTCATTTCTTTTCTTTCTTACATTTTCTGTATTCTGTATATATACTATATGATGTGATGTAGGTATAGATTTATTTTTATACTTTTCTATACTTCTCTCGTCTACAGGAAATTCTCATCTACGTGGATGCTCGAGTAAAAGAATTGAAAATTGTTCTAAATAGACAGTCTCAACTGTTCCATAAAATAATCAGTGAAAAAGCTTTTTTTCTCTTCTCAAGCATCTCATACACAATTTCTTCTTTTATTTTTCTTCTCTACCGTCGTCGTTGCTGTCGACTATAATGTTGTTATTCGTTCGCATATTTCTTCTTTTCTTCTCCAACTTCTATGGTTGTTTGTTGGATATGAGAGACATGACGGTAGATTTTACCGTGATGAAGTCTAAAAACCTTTTCTAGCTTGCTGGAGACTGTATGTACAATGAGAGATTTTAAACATTTTTTCTTCATTTTCTTATTTCAATTTTTTTTTCTTCTTCCTTCTTCTTCTTCTGCTGCTGCTTGCTGCTGTTAAAGAGCTTCAAGCCAAGCAAAAATATTCTATTTTATTATTATGATCATCATCATAATACATAGAGTTGAGAGATGAACTATTTTAATTCCAGTTTAAATTCGACGAGAGTAGTAATGTACAATGAGTAATGAACGGGAATTCATTTATGCATCAAAAAATGACTCATCAATATGAACACAAAAAAACGAGCGACAAGTATACCAAAATTAACAAAAAATCTTATCACTTTATGTAACGTCTTTCCGTTCTCGTTTTGAAAATAAAAATGAAATTCAAATTTAAAATCGAAAATACGTTATCGCAGCAGTATCACACATCTTCAATAAATGTATTATAAGAGAGTAAGTGAAGAATAGAACGTTCAATGGATTGATGATAAACGAACATGCTTTCTGTATAGAATGTGAGACGATGAAAAAAAAAAACGCCGATGCGTCATAAAAAAATATTGAACTGCATTTGTTTCTAAAGCATGTCACCTGTTGAGTATATTTTTTTTTTGTATATTTATTTTAATTCTCTCCTATAT